TTTGTGTTAACCTCTAATTTTTAAGATAATGAATATAATCTAGCTTTTGCTTCAATAGAAACTGCATCCCCTTATTATAACTTAAAGTTTTTTTCCGGCTCAAAACCAAATATTAAATATTAAAGTATTATCTCACAAAGGAAGACCAGAGGAAGAAATTAATACCCACCAACAATAAGAAGAGATATACTCCGTAACTTATTCGAACAGTAATTCTGTTGATAAATCTCTATCTAAAGTTGATGAATTATATAAAAAAAATCTAAAGTTGATGAATATTTATACAACCGTTGCTTCTAAGCTTCGGTATAACCGTTAACCTCTAATTAGGCAAGTACTGTACTTAAGGATAATTGTTAACCTTTAATTAACGAGTAAATGACATGGATAATATTAGAGAGACAACTTGTTGCAATACAAAACCTGTTCTCAAAAGCCAAGGGAGGACTTGAGCAACCAAGATGCAGTAATACACTATTTTAGAAAAAGAAAACACAAAGTAACACTAGTAATAATGGGGTATTTGGACTTTAGACAAGAGATGACAACCTACAATCACTTTGAGGTTTTGATTTGTCCACATGACCCACTATCTTGTTTTCTCAAGGTTGAGAAGAAGTACTAGCTAGCTACCTCTCTTCTCCAGCTCCCTGATTACACCACCCAGTGTCCAATAAACTAATGCTCTAATTGTCCATTAAATTAATCACGATTGGTGATAGGGATGTGATGGATTCTAGAGGAACAGCTTATAAATAATTAACTACTTACTCCGTACCAATTAGTCAAAGAGGGTGATGGGTTTGTTGTTGGTGATCGTGGAGCTGGTCTTCCCGTGGGCCAGCCACATGACTAACTATAGGCAACTTAGGCGTGCTTGCTACGCGTACATGTCGGAATCATATGCAGATGCAGCAGCATTTGCATTTATATATACAAAAAATCCTACTATCAAATTACTCGAATTATGGACATGACTATAATTAAATATAATTAGAGTAAGCTAGACCATTGATCTAAGATATATAATTTCTCGAATTATGCAGCTTTTCTTGAGCACGTCGTCTTAAATCAGCTTGATCCGGATAATATTATCAGATGATAATGATGATCGATGATAATGACGACCAGATTAATTTGACTTAAGAAATACGCCGGATGGAGTTATTGACACGGTAATTAAGAGTTTATAATTAATTGTATTTGCAATGACATGACACGTAAGAGTTCATTTAGAAGTATCTATTTGACAGCGCTGACACTCGATCATTTGCCTGTGTCACTTTACATATAAAGATGGCACATTGAATCTAGGCTAAAAGGTTCAGACCATTCAAGTCTTGTGTTCAAATTGTCCATTTCACATTTATGTGCCTCTTGTACTTAGGTACACCGTCAATCCTTAAAGTTAGTACGTAGTATCACTTAAATCCATGATCTATAAAATTAACATTTAGGTTAATGATCTTGTTTAAGTGTATCATATCATTGCGATCCAAAACGCGTCTGACCGGGTTGATCTACCTACATGGCTGTCTAGTGTGGCCGCATTTTTACAATTAGCCCCCTCCGCGCTTGATCCACCCACTTCTCCCCTAAATATCCCACCTAACCATGGTCACTGCTTCCACTCTCACTCGAAACCACTCCCTCACTCGCACAGTGGTGATGACTCTGAGGGCGGCGATCGTGGCCGTGGGCGTTGACGATCATGCCCAGTACCATAAACTACATCTAGAAACATCCTTCTAGACACATGAATCAATGGCAACCAATGCCCAATTCATAATAGGAAGGCACAAAAAGATCAAATCATATTTACCTTCTGGTCAGGACACGTGAAGAAAATGCAACCCCCATTAGCATGTGTTGTTGTAGTGGGCTCCACGATGCTCTTCTTGTGGCAGAAAGGGCACTAGATCAATGGAAGATCGTGCCTTTTCATCTGGGCACTTGAAGAAGATCTATTGTTTCGAGTAGCCATAGGCTCCCCTATATATCAGTGTACTTCACGAATCAGCCTAGCCGTTGCCTTCCTCATTAGCATCGCCCTACCCACCTTCCTCGCCATCTCCGTCCTACCCGTGTCTCCACCTCTGCCCCTGTTACTATCGTCACAACCCTACATATCGTAGTGAGAAGAGGGGAACAAAATGGGTGAAGTGGGTGGATCAAGCACGAAGGGGGCTAATTGCAAGATGTAGTCATGCTGGATAGCCACGTAGGCAGGTCAACCTGATCAGACGTGCTTTGGACCACAATAATTCACTTAAATAAGATCATGGACCTTGATGTCAATTTTAGAGTTGTAAGATCGTGGATCTAAGTGACACCATGCTCTAACTTTAAGGGTTGGCTTTGTACTTTACTCTATATTTTTATTGATACAAGTATTAAACCAACAAATTATTCAAAGAAAAAACTTAAACACCTTGATTTTTACAATCTATTACTCCTAAAAATGTAAGGCTTATTTGGAGGATAATTTAAATTCTGTGTTTTGGAACACAGGTGTTATGGGTTTGCTCATTTCGTTGAAACAAAAACCTACCAAAGTTTTTTTGGTAATAAGATGAGGATTGGTGGCATTTTGTTTCTGAAAATTTTGGTAGAAATTTTGAGTGTAAAAGGTCCCGAATTACTAAAATTTTGTAGGGTAGGGTTAGTAAGATATGTCGAGCCTATTTGGAAGAATTTCATGAGAACTTTGGACGAAATGAATTGTTCTGAAAATCCTGTAAAAGTTTCTGTGTTCCGAAGTTTGTTGTCTTTTCCACATATATGTTCATATATATAGAGGGAGATCCCGTTTGTCAGCTTGATATATATTCCTCATCATCATTTGTCTCCCTTGTAAATTGGGTTAATTTATTTCTTCTGGATCTTAACGTGGAGTAAATTAATAGGGCCAATTTTCGTTTTCCATGTAGTAATTGAGTGCTACTAATAACTTGTTGATCGGGAATTAGCTGGACTAGTTAGTGGTTAATAAACAATATGGTACGATTACTCATCAGTTGACTTGTGGTTGTGGACAATTAATCTCTTCTTCATGAGAAGTATGGGGACAAGATTAATAGGCGACAATGACGCCGATAACAGTGGAGTTAACTTTGCCAACTTGGGCATCATCGAACAGTCTATTTTCAACATGCAAACTGGCAAGATTCTATGACACCATAGCCATTAGGAAATGCTGCTACTGTACGTAACACAAACACACTCCCTTTGTTTTTAATACGTCGTTCATTTTTATACATGTTTAATAATCCATATTATTAAAAAAATATAAAATTATTATTTATTTATTGTGATCCGTTTTATTATTAAATACACTTTAAGCATCTTATAATTTTTATATTTACACAAAACTTTTGAATAAAATAGTAAAACATACATTTAAAAGTTAACAACTTCGCACATTATAACTTTTCTTTGGATGCATGCCCACACATGTTTGCTGATTGTTCACTTCATGCTTAGGCTCCAGCTGGATGTCCTTCCCAATTCAACGTTGTGGAAAACGTACTGATGCCCATGAACATGCATAACAAGTCCTACCCGTGTTTTTCTTTCTCTGCATTTATTTTAAAAATAAACAAAAGAATATATGTATACAACATTATATTCTAGATAGGATCTACTTTAATAGTAATTAAATTCACATGGATAAAGACATAAAAGGCTTTACAGTCTCCCATATCAACTTTAACTAACATTTGATCAACGTCAAACGGTATATATATATTCACGCTCAAATGATGTAGGAATTGAAAGACTCAACATCATATATGCAAGTAGCACATACCATGCATCATCCTCGTTGAGGAATGTCTTGCATGGTTGTTGGGGTAAGCAAAACCTCAATTAAGTATATGGTTTTACAATAATATGATGGTGATGATATATAAAATCCATGATGGATTGGGTTTGTGATGAGGCCAAGCTAGGAGGGTCCCATGCAGGGGATCATCCAGCCTGCCTTTTTTTAAAAAAAGAAAATAACTTTATTTTGACTCTCACAAGCATTAGCTATAGAGAGCACCAAATCCAATCATGCAAGCAAAACAAAAGGCGCAGAGAGACGAACTTGTTGTCGTTGAGAGGAAACCGGTGGCAGTAGAGTTGTAGTGTAAAAATTAAGGCATAAAATTTAAAGGAGCTAAAGTGGAATACAAACTGTCTAAAGCCAAAAAGGACAAGACTTACACAAACTCTACCCCCAATACACGCCCTTTCCATCTCATCCTCACGTATTCCCCAGAGTGCTAAATAAACAGGGTTGAAAATTCCAAAAAAAAAAGAAATCAGAGAGTAGGATGGAATTATTACCCTAAAAAAGTATATTTTGAAAATATACTTTGATGCAATACTGGAAGAAATATTTTTATGAAATAGGTTTTTAATTTAAAATAGTATTGTCATCTATCAACATATCAAAAGGGAGACTTGCTTTAGTGCCTGAAAATAAATTCATCACCGATCATCTGTTGTGAACGTCTATCGTACTTTAAAATTTTAATAGGTATAAAATGTATTTAATTAAAAATGGAATTCTCATGTCAGGAATATACTTACATTTAAGTGGATGTTGTTATGTTATATAAGTACATAATTTTTTTTATCATCTGTCATAGTACTACTTCTCTGTTTCATATTATAAGTCGTTTGAATTTTTTCTAATCAAACTTCGTCAAGTTTGATCAAGTTTTATAAAATATTTAGCAACACTTAAAATATCTAATTAGTTTTATTAAATCTAACAATGGATATATTTTGATAATATATTTGTTTTGTATATAAAAGATTACTATAATTTTTTTATAAACTTGATTAAACTAAAAAAATATTGGATTAGAAAAAAAAATCAAACGACTTGTAATATTGGATTAGAAAATAAAATCAAAACGACGAGATACGAAATGGAGGGAGTACATTGTTTTCTAGAGCATTTTATAGAGCCTTTGCTCTTGGCTTAAAATATAAAATGGAGGGCACCCCTAAGCTCACACAGGCTGTTGGGTTGCTCCCTCTCTCATCTCTAGTCTTCTTCCCCATTCACCAACACAACCAGCAGCCACCTCCTCCTCTTCTTCCCCAACTTTCTGCTTGATCTCCACCTCCACTGCCGCCCCGCCGCCCAATCCACCACCACCGGCGGCGGCGGAGGTCAACGCCGGCCACCCTCGTCGACGCCCCCCCACATCAGCTCAGGTATTCCTCCTTTTTCAGCTGCTTCTCCTTTGTCAGGGCTGAGCCTCAGCCCTAGCTCCACATCGCCACCGCCATTTCTCCTCGCTGCTTGCCGCAAGGGCAGAGCTGCCGGCGGCGAGCTCCCCTTGCCCCCTCTCCCTTCTAGGGCTACTGCTGCGGCTGCTGCTACTACCCCTGCTGTGTGCTGTTCCTCTTTTATTCAGATATAGTCGATGGAGTGAGCATACTGACTATTAATTTGATATATGCATGCTAATCTGGTTCCCAAGTTTGTGAACTTCTTGTTGTAGATACTCCTTATGCCTAAAATATGATTTGTGCCCCCAAATTAGTAAGAGGTATTTAACAGGGATATTATATTATTCGGCAATGATTAGGCGAAAGTAATTGTTTCCATGTGTTAATCTGTTTACTTGGTGAATAATCCCAGGTTACTACCCGAAATTTCTAGATAAAATGTGCTAAGTTTACATTCTGAATCTTTTAAGGATTATATACTGCTATCTGTTTGGTTTGGCTAACTCATTGCTTAGCTTAATCCAACTACTTTAGTGATTGTAACACTTGCTTGGGGATGGTTCTGTGTAGGGGTGCAGTGCAGAGGAAGGAGGGCAAGTAGACAAGAATCACCTTATTGGTACCTGACGAATTTACTCCAAGCTTTCCTGTGGTTGCCACATGCTGGTCAGCCCCTCCATCTCCTCTGGCTGCCTAGTTAGTGGTGGACAAGATAAACATGTTGAGCCTGAGTTGCTGTTGGGTTTTGGTGTGTGGAAGAATCTACAGGCATGAATAGAGGTGCCATTGTTCTGTGGATTGAATGTTGTGGTGCAGCTGGTTGCCTTGTTCCTCCTCTGCTGCTTGGTTTGTCTAACTGATCGGCCCCTAGCTAGCTGGCCTTACAATGGTGAACTGGGTCACCATCTGTTCATGGCGATGGTTAGGATGATGGCAGTGGAAGGATGAAGAATGGCACTGCGCTGCTTGCCTGCTTGGCTACTATTGTGCTAAATAAGGAATGTCAAGTGGCCTAGCACTTGTTTGCTCCTCACTGGTTGAGGGTGGCAGCCCACTCCTCTCACTGTGTGGGGCTTGACTAATTGAGCTCAGGTGTGGCTAAGGTTTGACTCCTTGCTCAGATGTGGCTCTCTTCATCGTGGACACAGGTGTGGCTTTTGTGCGGCATAGTTTGATTGGTCAGTTTGTATTCTAGGCAACATGTTCATAATGAGTAATATTAATTCGCTTTAGCTGTTTATTGATTGATAGAAGAAATTAATGGTTGATTAATCATTCCTTAATACATTGATGTATCTGTATTCGTATATAGCTTTTTATAGTATGTGTAAATTGAACACTTACTAATTACGATGGCACTTGTAATACCGAATCTTCAACCATTTGTGTGTATGTGGATGCATTTGAATAATCTGAGGTTTTTGTTTTACCATAATTTATATTGATTATTTAGTTAGTCAGGCGATTTAGCCTCTTAACTGTTAACTTGATTTGTGATTCAAATTTGGGTTGTTTCAGCGACGGGCATTGGGGGTCGCTGGTGTGTTGCTGCTGCTGTCGAGGTAGGGTGGTGGAGGTGGAGGGATGGTGCTGGGACTGGGTGTAGCCAACCAGCCAGCCATGGGTAACAGCACCTCCAGGGTCGTTGGCTGCTTCGCACCAGCAGACAAGGCCGCCGGTGGCGGCGTCGGTTTGGAGTTCCTGCAGCCGCTGGACGAAGGACTCGGCCATTCCTTCTGCTATGTCCGCCCAGGGGCCATCACTGACTCGCCGGCCATCACGCCATCCAACTCCGAGAGGTACACGCTCGACTCCTCCGTGCTGGATTCGGAGACCCGCAGCGGGTCATTCCGGCAGGAGGTTGTCGTTGTCGACGACCTGGCGGCGGCAGCCATGGCCGGGTTGCAGAGGCCGAGCAAGAGTTTCTCGGAGACCACCTTCCGGACGATCTCGGGGGCCTCCGTCAGCGCCAACCCGTCCTCGGCTCGGACAGGCAATCTGTGTGTGTCCCTTGCTGCTGATGTGCAGGAGCCTGCCGCCGCATTCGAGAGCACCGCCTCTTTCGCCGCCGTTCCGTTGCAGCCGGTGCCACGGGGATCAGGGCCGCTCAATACCTTCTTGTCAGGGCCGCTTGAGAGAGGATTTGCGTCGGGGCCGCTGGACAAAGGCGCTGGGTTCATGTCTGGGCCACTGGATAAAGGAGTCTTCATGTCTGGTCCTATTGACAGTGGCAACAAAAGCAACTTCTCGGCACCTCTTTCGTATGGTCGGAGGAAGGCTGGTCTCGGACAGCTTGTACGTAGCATTAGCAGACCGATGAGAAGTGCGCTGTCAAGAACATTTAGTAGGAGCTCACAAGGTACTGGTTGGGTCCAAAGATTTCTGTTGCATCCTATGGCTCAACTGAGCTTGTCGAGGGATGCAAAGGGCACTTCGGAAGATTCACATAATGGGTTGGAAGCTGGGCTCCCTGAGCTTGAGTATAGTGTAACAAGGAACCTGCAGTGGGCTCATGGCAAGGCAGGAGAGGATAGGGTTCATGTTGTCCTCTCTGAAGAGCAAGGGTGGTTGTTTATTGGAATTTATGATGGTTTTAGCGGTCCGGATGCACCGGACTTCTTAATGAGCAATCTATACAAGGCCATTGATAAAGAGCTGGAAGGACTGCTCTGGGTTTATGAAGACAGTCCTGAAGGGAGTGCTCAAGTATCTACTCTTGGAGAGGGTGAATCCGTTGCAGTTCCTCAGGACCTGCCTGATGGAGGTGACATTCTGTTCCAAGCTGATAGTGTTGAATCAGAACAACTTGTTAATTCTGAGGAACAAGATGTATCCAATGTGAAGATAAGTGATGGGGGTGCTTCGCAAGTTCAGATGGATTTGAACACCAGTGGTCAGAGAGATTTAGTGTTGCAGGCTTCAAGTAATCAGAAGTTGAATGCTGGTGAAATAGTCGAGGAAAAGGTGGGGGCTGATATGGGGAATAATCTCCAGAGTACAGAGTCTTATAACTCTGGTAGAGATATTTCAAATACAGATGTAAACACTAGCTTTGGTTGTACATCAGATGTAAACACTAGTACTTGTTGTAATGAAGATGTCAAATCACCGAAAGAAATCAGGAGCAGACGACTTTTTGAGCTACTTGAGATGGAATTGCTCGAAGAATATAATAGAAATGTTTCCAAATTATCACCAGAGGGAATGAAAGGGAGGAGCATATTTAATATGCAGGCAGGAACTACAGAAGAAAGCTCTAGGGATATAGCCGAGCTCTCTAGGTCTTCAATGGCAGCAACTGGAGAATGTCTTGATGATTTTGAGAATGATAAACATTCAAGATCAGGTGACGGTGTGCTTGGGGTAGATCCAAAAGAGTGTAATGAATGCTCAATTTCATCATCGTCATCAGGGCACAAACAAATTCTGAGAAGATATTTGTTTGGGTCAAAGCTGAGGAAGATGTACAAGAAGCAAAAATTGTTGCAGAAGAAGTTTTTCCCTTGGAACTATGATTGGCATAGAGACCAACCTCATGTTGATGAAAGTGTTATCAAACCTTCTGAAGTTACTAGGAGATGCAAATCAGGACCAGTAGACCACGATGCTGTATTGAGGGCAATGTCACGGGCGCTTGAAAACACTGAGGAAGCATACATGGACGTAGTGGAAAGGGAGCTTGATAAAAATCCTGAGCTCGCGTTGATGGGTTCATGTGTGCTTGTGATGTTGATGAAAGATCAGGATGTATATGTTATGAATCTTGGAGATAGCCGAGTTGTCTTGGCACAAGATAATGAGCAATACAATAACTCAAGCTTCTTAAAGGGTGATTTAAGACATCGTAACAGGTCAAGGGAGTCACTTGTTCGTGTTGAACTTGATAGGATATCTGAGGAGTCACCAATGCATAATCCTAATAGCCACCTAAGCAGCAACACAAAAACTAAGGAATTGACTATTTGTAAATTAAAGATGAGAGCAGTTCAACTATCGACTGATCATAGTACAAGTGTTGAGGAGGTATGTTTCTGATATTTGATTGTTACATTCTTTCATTTGATTTTAGCATCTTCTGTCCTGCATGACAATTTGGTGATTTTGATTCATCTGTCAAATCATGCATATTTTAGCAAGTCATTTATTACCATCGTTGTGATTCCCTGAAAATCTCGGTAGGATATTAAATGTACCGTGTGCCTGAGCCAGAGTGATGCTATATATGTCCTCTTAATGTGATGGCTTACACTGAATTTGATGGTATTGATTGTTGAGTCTGCTCTCCTAAAAAATGCTGTAGATTTTACTTGGGTTAAACCATTAAAGTTAATGTCAAGTACATTAACCAACAGGAAGACAACAATTGAGGAAATCATTTGGAAGAGAAAATATGATAATTATTTTGTATGCTATCTTTGTTCTGGTCAACAAAATGAAGCTTATGAGCTATCTGGACGTTCTTCATTATTACTTGACTTTCTCTCAAGACATGTCAAAAAATGAGTTGATTTTTATTAGCTTGCTGAGTCGTTGTTAATGTTTGTTCATCTGCTTTGAGGCATACGGAGGATCAAAGCTGCCGCATGCAAAATTGAGGTCCTAGGAATAGCAAATAGTTATGCTATATTTTGTTAGCATGAATCATGGCTGCCAGTTAATTAGTACTTCCAAGTTTTTTTTTTTGAGGGGGAAAGGCAGGAGCTCTGCCAATTTCATTAAGGAGGATAGAAATGATACAGGTTCACCTCTCAAAGGTTCCACAGAAGAAATCACAGGGTTGTAGGGGAGAGAATACAGGAGATTTTAAGAAAATGTAAAGCAACAAGCATCAAATCCGACGCATAATCATCTGCGTAACCTGAGCTTCATCGAAGGCTTTGCACATTGCAATGATGGAGTCAACCACTTGCGGAACCGTGCTATACACGCCATTGAAAATCCTGTTGTTCCTCTGTAACCAGATCCCCCAAGCCATATACATTAGGCCATCCAAATTTCGTCTTTGCTCCTTGACCATTGATTTCCTGCAAGTTTCCCACCATGCCAATATGTCTCCATTGAAGAGATTTGTAGCGTGCATTTGGAGTCCTAGTTTGGACCAAATTGTGCTCCAAACCTGTTTCGCGAATGAGCACTCCATGATGAGATGTCGGGCTGTCTCTGGCTCGATGCCGCATAGGGAACAGATGGGGCTGTTGTCCCATCCCCTGAGCTGAAGCTTGTCAGAGGTCAAGATTTTCCTGTGTACCATAAGCCAAGCCAAAAACCTGCATTTGTTTTCAGTCTTCGCCTTCCAAGTTCCCAATATCAAATCCTGTTTCAGATTGACCAAAACCAAACGCAGGTACATAAAACAAGATTCACATACCATATACCTTATAATTATTCAACACAAACTCTATTATCTACTCTGTGGGTCTACACATTAACATCCTTTCAGATTTAATAACTTATTTCTTAGTAATCTGTTGTCCTTGACCCTCCTAACGTCAAACATTTATATTTTCAAGTGCCACCTCAATAGTACTCTGACGCTCTCTATTTTCCACTGAGAATATAGTTTGCATAATCATGAAAATGGTACTAGCTCACCTTGCAAATACACCTTCTGAAAGAATGAATACTTTTTTCGAAATTTCTTTGGAGGTAGTGATAAAGCTACTCTGAATATTCAGTCATGTTGTTTGGAAGTGTCCTGATGTGCTGTTGGTTACATTCTCATATGGATGAAATCAGCATCTCTATCGACTATAAATTTCTTGGAAGCAATCGTATTCTCTTTTGTAGCTAGCTGTTAGAACAGGATGTGAAACGGGCAATGTAAAAAGTTTCGCAGTGTGAATCCTTCATTTGTGCCTTATGTTTTTCTGGGAGAATGGAGCTTTTATGCTAGAGGGATTATTTGGTTAAAACACCTATGTTGTTTGTTCAGGTTTTACATTTATAAAGTTAGGCTTACCGTTTTATCTTGTACTCTATTTTAAAGATGATAATTATTTGTTAACCTCATTGTTCTTTCTATGTTCTCTGCAGGAAGTCTCGAGGATTAGGGCAGAACATCCTGACGACCCTCAATCTGTATTTAATGACAGGGTGAAAGGACAGTTGAAGGTTACAAGAGCGTTTGGTGCAGGTTTTCTAAAGAAGGTAGCTTAGAGTTTTTTTTTTTTTTGTGTCCATGGCTGTTGTTCACTGCTTTTATGTCCAAGGTTCTGTTGAAAACCAAATATTACAGTGATTCTGTTGAACAAACCAAATATTACAGTTAGAGGTACCCTACGATGCAAACCAAATATTTCAGTGATTCTGTTGAAAAAATGAACTGGCAGTATCAATATAACAATGAAAAGCAATATGATACCATCTAATCAGAAAATTGAAGATTAATTGTTAATGTGAAATTTTTTTGTAGGATTGTAGTTGATGTTATTAAATCTTTTTTGAAATAAATAGGTATGAAGTAAGTTTCTCTTTGGATATGACATACACACATTTGTAGTCTTAGACATTCCCAAAGGTGTTTTTATATATGTTGTAACTTCGAAGGTTATATTACAATGTAATATTCTATTATGCAAACGGTTAAAATATCTTCTTTGCCTGTTGCAGCCAAAATTTAATGACATACTACTTGAGATGTTTCGCATCGACTATGTTGGAACATCATCATATATCAGCTGCAACCCTGCTGTCCTTCACCACCGTCTTTGCTCAAATGACCGGTTTCTTGTCCTGTCCTCAGATGGACTGTATCAATATTTCAGCAATGATGAGGTTGTTTCACATGTTGCATGGTTTATGGAAAATGTACCAGAGGGTGATCCTGCTCAATACCTTGTAGCCGAGCTGTTATGCCGTGCAGCAAAAAAGAATGGTGAGTTATGTCTTTATTCATACAGCATGTACTATTTGGTTCATACAAGGAAATGACACTTTACTGTGGTGAACATTTTTATCTATGCCATCAGTGAGAGTATCAGGCTAAAGTACACTCAACTAGATCTGTTACGATCCGTAATAACTAAAATCTCATAACAAATTAGACTGCTAATAGCATTGTTATCAATGCCTCTTTACATTTGTATGTTAACATGGTTGAACTTTGGCGTGTCAATTGATGACATATGCTCACTCAGTTTGATATATGACACTTTCATGCATTGCCTTGCTACCTTTGAATCCTTCATGGTCTTGCTACTACCTTTACCAATCAAGACTCCGGTCATACCTTGGTTGTCTTGAAATTGTTGAAGCAATTCACGGTCCTATTAGGACTCTGGAAATATCCTATTATTTTTTAAAGGGATTGACCCAACATTTCTTTACCACATGAGCTATTTCCATATATATTTGCTACTTTACTAGCTCCCAGGAACTCCTTTTCTATTTTGGCATACGATATGTATATTTGTATGAACCGAGTTGTATATAGTAATGCTATTTTTTCAAGCTTTGAATTATTGCCTGAAATAAAACTATAGAAGAACTATTGTGCTCGTCATTCTCCAAAAGCTAACCCTTTTATCTTGGGTATTGTATGATACACGCAGGCATGGACTTTCATGAGTTGCTGGATATCCCTCAGGGTGATCGCCGAAAATACCATGATGATGTTTCTGTTATGGTAATTTCCCTTGAAGGCAGAATTTGGCGATCTTCTGGTTGAGCATCAAGATGTGACTTGGTCTGTTCCTTGCAGCCTCACTTAGCGTAGTGAATTATCAATCAGAAAAGGCATCATTGTCTTGTTCATTGTCTTCAGTTTTTGAAGTTCTGATCAAATTTCATTAGGCAATACATAGTGCCTTTTCTGCCTTAACATTTTGGATTTGTGGTGCATGCTTGGCCAGTCCAACTTTGACTTATACATGTTTCTTGTTTCTTATTAGTAAAAAGGTTCATTTTTGTGGGGATTTTTATTCCCTGTGCCTTCTATTAGCTTACTTTAAGTGTATTGTGTATATTTGTGTTTCCATTTTGTTTTCCTTCATTTGAAAACAGGGCGTGGGGGATTGGAATTTGTGCATTACAACTGCTGCTGGAGCTGTCTGATCTACAGGTTTTTTTTCAGCATTACTCCATCTGTTTGGGGGCATATGGCTGGTGGTTGTGCACTGTACATCAGCAGCAGCAGCTGCCTTGTGCATTTTGGTAGCCATTCTCAAGCTTTCATTCATGTGCCAATTTGACTGTTTAATCTGTAATGGTTTGTTTTTGCAAAATGTCGCATTATTCAGATGTTGCAGAAGGGAATGTACAAAAGAGACACTTCCCTATTTCTAAGGGAGCTTAAAAGCTTGATCATGAATGAATGATCCATGTTCTATACTATTCACTTGTCTTTCTGAGCTAAGAATCCTTTGGAGTTGTTACTAGCTAGACAAAAAAATGTACCGGCAGTGAGATCTCTGCTAAAAAATGTACCGGCAGTGAGTTGTTGGTTAGTATGTTTTGTTATCCGCTTCTCTATAGGATGGAAAACTGGAAATGGAAAACTTCCTTTTCTTTTCTTTTTTTACTACAGATGATTGGTGCATATTCGTGCAAATTGTAGATTAAAATATACTCCCTCCATCCTAAAATGTTTGACGCCGTTGACTTTTTTTTAAATGTTTGACCGTTCGTCTTATTCAAAAAATTTAAGTAATTATTAATTCTTTTCCTATCATTTGATTTATTGTTAAATATACTTTTATGTATACATATAGTTTTACACATTTCACAAAAGTTTTTGAATAAGACGAACGGTCAAATATGTTTAAAAAAGTTAACGGTGTCAAACATTTAGGAAAGGAGGGAGGATATACAAGTCTGTTGCTATTTTCCTTTCAAAGAGGTACTTTTGGGACTGTTTGAGCTACCTGCTCCTTAGAAAACTATCTTAGGATAAGTTCGTGGTGACGTCGATCAATTATCCATGTACTGAAAAGGCTGGATTCGTTATGCACCAAACTTTTCAGAGTACAACTGTACAAGCTATAGCATGCTTATGCCGTAGTGTACTATTGTCCATAATTTTGTCTTGGTGTAGTATGATTCATGCAGGGAAGAGTAGAGGCTGTTACAGTATTGACCAAGTGTGTACTTCACCCACTAGATAGTTGTACTTAATTTGGTTTCTGTACGACCCTATACGAGCTAATCTGTGACGACTACACTCTACAGCACTTGGTCTGTAAGTTGGGTCTGGTTGTTCCCAATTTTTTCTTTAAACTTTTAACTTTTTCATCACATCAAAACTTCTAATTTTTTCGTCACATCGTTCCAATTTCAATCAAACTTTTAATTTTAACGTGAACTATACACAGCCTTGGCAGCATTTCAAGTCAAAAGTTCGAACCAGCTGATAGATGATGAATGAAACTGAGTTCATGTCACATTATTTAAGGGCACCCAAGAATAAATTAAGGGCCCCTTTGAATCGTAGGGTAGAAAAAACAGAGGAATAGGAAAAACATTGGATTCTGACAGGAATTGAAGTGTAAAAAACAGAGGATTGCAAAACACAGGAAAAACATAGGAATGGTCGTTTGATTGGAGCGTAGGAAAAACGTAGGAATCGGATGAGAGAGATAGACTCAAAGGAAATTTTCCAATAGGTTGGAGCTCTTGCTAAATTTCCTCCAAAATCCACATGCAATGTGCCATTCCATAGGAATTTCATAGAATTTGGAAAGCTTCGATCCTTTGAATCAAAGGGCCAAATAGGAAAATTTCCTATAGGATTTGAATCTTATGAAATTTCTATATAAATCCTTTGATTCAAAGGGGCCCTAAATATTAGAAATTTGAGAAGTTTATTTATTGAAGTTCTCTATGTAATACCGTTGAAAGGTTTTACAAACATCACACCGTTTAGAAATTTTGGAAACCTGTTGGGGGATAATCCACGATGTTGTTCTGAACTAAAATTGAGTTTGGAATTTTTTTTCTTCATGTGCAAACAAACAACAACGAATTGGCGTTAAGATTGTGACATCGAGATTGAAAATATATGTCCTCATCTTTTAGATAGCTGAAAATGATGAATTATTTTTATGGTAGCTATTTGAGGGTATAACTGAATGAATCAATCACTATAAAGTTAAAATATTTGCTTTAGAAATCTATTACAAGAAAATTTTATATAACCTTTAACACTAAACGCAAGCGCGCAAAGAAAATCTAGAATGAGAAAAGGACCAAACAGGGCCTAGCACATGTATCTCCAATTGCAGCAGAAGTTAAATTCTCTCTTGCACCAAGAATACGCCATTAGGCCATTCCCAACCCAATAACTAGAATGGTGTCCATAGTATTAAATAAGCTGCCACATAGGATGAAAAGTGATGTGGCAAGTGAATAAACGAAAAAAGAGAAGGAAATCATGTCTTGCATGAGACATGGTTTCTACACAACATCTAAGACATCATGTGAGATAAGTAGTATTAAATTTATGTATAGAATAGTAGTATTTGTATTGGAAGAGTGGTGCCTACTACTAGTTTTTTGATGATGTGGAGTTTATAGAAACTATGTCAGTGTTTTGGGTTGGGAATAGCCTTATGCTACTTCTAAACACCTTCCAATTCACAACGTTTTGACTCCGTTTTTTTTTTCATAAATCTGGCATCTCAGACCCCACTTCATCAAACTGTCCTGCATAATGTAGCTGCCAATCTCTGAACTGCAGAAGGTCCAACCAACTGGCAGAATCAAATTTTGCTGCTCTCTTTGTAAAATAAAAAAATAAAAAAAAATCCAAGAAATACTTGACTGGTTAGCTGGTCTTGTTAATTAATATTAATGGGATCTTGGATTCCCAGCTGACTTTGCAAAGCAAACGCATTCGAGTAAGTATCACGCTGGCTGTACACGGTTGCTCATGTAACTAGTATAATATCCTGAACTAACCCACTAATTCATCATTATCTTTGTGCTACTATGATTTCGCCCATCATGAACCATAACATTATTTCTGATTTTTTTTTGTACAATACTACAATGTGAATTATAATACATTTGATACTAGCTACCTGGATGGGTGTTTAGTGTCATGCATGCAAGTACATAATAATTAATTAAAAAAATCAACACTGAAGAAAAACACCCATACCATTGGTAGGTACGTAGACATTTCCCCCCTTAATTATCACTTTTTTTTCTAGCGAAATGTACAAGAAAGTCTACATCTTGACAATCTGACTATATGTATATTTTATATATATATATAACCAAGAAGCTTAATCTTAATTTAATTTCAAAAAGAAAAAGAAGAGAAAATGGTCCCAATGGTCGAGTAGTAGTAATTAATTAATTAATCAGAGAAGGAGAAAAAAAAATCAGGCGATGATGCAGCCGTAGCCATCGGCCTCCACCTCGTAGAGGACGACGCCGCCGCCGGGGGCGGCGGCGCACTGGCAGGCGGGGCGGCAGGAGTTGCAGCCGGGGCAGCACGGCGGCGGCGGCGGTGGGCAGGGCGGCGGCGGGTCGGGCTTCTTGGGAGGGTCGTCGGGCTTCTTGGGCGCCTCGGGCTTCTTCTCCGGCTCGACGCTGACGACCTCCGCCGCGAACTTGGCCTTGCGGAGCTCGCCCACCACCTGCACCACGTCCACCTCCCCCACCACCGTCATCGTCCCCTTCTCATCGTCCGCCGCCAGCGACTTCACCCCTGCAAAATTAATCAATTCAATTCAATTCAATTCAGCTCCATCGATGATGATTCAAGCTGCAGTTGCACCTGATTCATCCAACAAATTAGTACCTGGGATCTTGGCCACCACGGTCATGGCGACGGCCTTGCACTTGGCCCGGACGAAGTCCACCTTGATCACGATCTTCTGCAAGATTTCAGTTAGGATTAAGTCTCTAATATAATCGCAATGCATATAGCCATATACGACGAACTGGAAGTGGAAGAGAGGAAGAGCAAGCTGACCTTGGACGACATGGCGGGCGATCGATCGAGCTAGCGCGAGGAGGAGGAGGAAGACGAAGTGGAGCAGGTGAGGTGAGAGGGTGAGGAGCTTTGATGCTAAGAAAGGGAGGTTGCGTGTATCTCGCCATAATTGAATCAGTATGGATCGACATCGATCTGCGTCATTATACGAGCTTTGCAAATTAAACTAATTGTCGTAACTATTCCAATTCGATTGATTAGTGTGTTAAATTGCTGAAATGGTCAACAGCTTTAACGAATTCTTTGTTTTTTCTTTTCTCTCTCTGAGCACAATGCTTTGCATTAGAGAACGCATTTCACATTTGTTCTTCTCGGAGGTAAGCCGGCGGTGTCAGATCACCCGTACTTTTGTAAATATATTTCTTTTTGGTGAGTTGTTCTGGGTGATTGATCTGATATATATATGAGATTAAATAATCAGAAGGGATTATAAAAAAATTACAGCTAGTGTTTTGTTCTCTCAAGGCAGAGATTGTGTGTTGAATAAATATTTTATTGCCGATCACAATCTTATAAAGAATCAGTGCACTTTATTTTGAGCGATAACGATTTGTCTCAATCAGCCGCCTCTTGCCTTTTTCTAATCTTCTCCTGCAATCTGTCCCTAGTAATGCACAGGATAATATATAACCTTTAACTGATTACTCGTTAAGTTTCATAATATTATCTCCTTTTTTTTTCAAGAATCCAGATGCGGCGCGCTCTTGTTAATTGCTTCGAGAACGTGGATGCATGTACTTTCTCTGAACTCATCAGAGGTCAAGCACGAAGACTTTTGATTACGTAGATCGAGGTGAAGCCTGATTAAACATTGATCAGTACGTATGACAGTATTCAGTCAGCAGTCACTCTCTCAGAGGATGAGTATAATACTACAGATTAGAATGTTAGAGAGATGTTTCAAAACATTTTCTCTACACTAATCTAAGGACTAATAATCCATCCACGGGAACATCGTGTGCGTGACATGAGGGATTGGTATCTCCAAGCCAAAATTTGCATTAATTTTTGGTGCTACGGAAAATCATGAAGAAATCGAGCCCACAAGAAGTTTGTTAAGGAGGCCTAATAAGGTACTCCCCCGTCCCATTTTAAGTGTGTTCAATGTTTGTTCGTCCGTCTTATTTAAAATAATTTTCTGATTAGTATTTTTATTGTTGTTAGATGATAAAAATAAATAGTACTTTATATGTGACTTATTTTTTTATATTTTTTTTTCAAATAATACAAATGGTCAAACGTTGGACACAGAAAAAACACATGGGACAGAAGGAGTAATAAATAGCACATAATGAGTCAGTAGCAGATTGATATCTATGTAGCGAATCGCAGACAACGAGCATTATAGCGGACGCTAGGTTCCAATAGCAACATTTAATAACCACGCATAAATTTGAGTATATGCCATGAATAATGATCTTATAAAACATTAACAAAGCAACTGAGAAACAAATTAGAAGCAATACTCATATAACTGAGTATAAATATAGATTTAGTAGCAATCGAAGAGTTGATGTCTTATTTCAACTCAAATTAAATTAAGAAGTGAACATATATGATGTTCTACTCATTATATGTTCCGACTCACAAGAATACAAGGTTTTAAGAGACAAAACAACTAATAAACTCGTCATTTGTTATGGGTTAGTAGTTATATAAAATGGCCTTATGCTATAGCAGCCCGCGAAACAAAAATAGTTGTCATTTGTACTTTTTTTTTTAAAAAAAGCGATCACTTAGTTCCAACATGCTATGTCATATCGGGACTACCTATACATTTGTCGACAAATTTTCTCCTAAAAATTTGACAGATGTAATTATAGTACAATCGTAGTATAATTATACTGTAACTTGCATGTAACTGTAGTGTAACTTGTATGTAAGTTTCACGTAATTTGGAATCATTAGATCTATTACAAGATTTGTTCTGGTGAGGAAGAAAAAAAATTACAGCACACACATATGTGAAAGGATTTGTTTCCACGACCTCCATTTTACCGAAATAACATGTTACAGAGAGATTTTTGAAAGTTACATTATAGTTACAGTGCAATTACATGCAAGTTATAGTGTAATTACACTACGATTGTACTGTAATTACATCTGTTAAATTTTTAGGAGAAAATTTGTTGACAAATATATAGTAAAATTGTGTCATATCCGCTATCGCCATGACGCCGGTTATGAACACTATTTATTTATTAGTTGGGCTTAAATTAAACGAACGGATAGACAATTACGGGCTGAATTTACCCACATTTTTGGGCTGGATTTACGCTCCACTTTAGGCCGGAGTTGCGAGCAGTTCTGGACCGAAATAACGCTCGTGGTTGGGCCGAAATTATGCGCACTATTGAGCCGAATCCGCTCGAAGAAATGGGCTGAACGAACACGCACTTGTCGTCTTGTCGCCTCAAAATTTCCTCTCTCCTCGCCACCGTCTCTTCTGTTTACGAGCTCCTCTCCAAATCCCCAAAACCCTAATCCAGCCAGCCGCCGCCGCCGCCGCCGCCATGGGAGGAGGAGGAGGAGGAGGGCGCAAGCCACGCAACTTCGCCACGTTCCGGCTGTTCCCGCGCGCCGGCGCCGCCGACCCCAACGACCGCGTCTTCGTCCGCGTCGACAGCAACGACTACACCGTCCCCGGCTTCGGCGACGACGACGCCTTCGACTCCTCATCCCTCTCCCTCACCGGTGACGCCGCCGCCGGCGATCACTTCTCCTCCGCCTCCGGCCCCCTCCCCGACCACGTCCGCCGCGAGATCCTCGAGCTCGGCCTCCCGGACGACGGCTACAATTACCTCCACCACCTCCGCGAGCTCCGCCCCTCCGCCGCCGCCGCCGCCTCATCCTTCGCGCCCAACCAGACTGCCCCGCCTCTCCCCCTCGACGTGAAGGTCTGCGACTTCCCTTCCCGAAACCCCAATTTTCGTTTCTCCTGCTATTCGGTTGTCTGATGCTTAGGATGATATGCTGTTGTTTTGGGCGTGCAGGCGTATGATGCCAGTAGGGTGCGGATTGCTTCTGGCAATGTTGAGGATGAGATGGACGAGGGGAGGACGATGTGTAAGGTGGCCGCGAAGACAGCGCCTGTGAGGCGGATTGAGAGGGCGGTTGATCCTGACATCGCGAGGTTGCTCGACGAGACCGATGTCTCCCATGGCGGGTCGGAGGATGAGGGACTGGAGGAGGATTTTGTCATCATGGCAAACCGGGCTGAGGGGGATGAGGAGGAAGATGATGATGATGAAGAGGAGGAAGTGATGGATGGTGTGTTCTTAAGTGATGTTGAAGAGGAAGAGGAGTTTGAGGATGATGAGGGTGAGCCCAAGCCGAGGGTCCGGCGGTTGCTGGATGAACAGTTTGATTTGGTATGCTTCGTTTGCATTTTGTGTTTCCTTCAGTATGATTTCACATACACCATTTTTATAGGGGCAGTATAACTTTCCTTCCTTTTATTCTATAGGGGCATATTACGGGACTACCCTTATAGCTGCATAAGTTTCTAAGTATTTATGTGCTTGTCAAATATATATTTTTAGAGTAAATTTCATAAAACTACAGATACTATGACCAAATTATCACAAAACTACAGATTTAACTCAGTGTATCACAAAACTACACATTTAACACCAAATTTATCACAAAACTACACATTTAAGATGAAGTGTCACAAAACTACATGTTTAGTAACTAAATTATCATAAAACTATAGGTTTAGAACCAATTTAATCACAAAGTAATAATGTTTATAGCTCCACATAACAATGGTGCTAGGGATTTAAACTCCAAAAGTTGTAGTTTTGTGATAAGTTCAATATTAAATATGCATTTTTGTGATACTTAACCTAAAATCTGCAGTTTTGTGATAAATTTGGTGCTAAATGTGTAGTTTTGTGATACAACTCCTTAAATCTGTAGTTTTGTGATAATTTGGTCAAAATACCTGTAGTTTTGTGAAATTTACTCATATTTTTATCATTGTGTAGATGGTAGATCTGAAGCTTCTAGATTGAAGATTACGCATAATGGATGACTGTGTTCATATATAATGCTGGTCATCAAACTAATTGAGCATACCATACCGGATGCTGTATCTTGTTCAACTCCCTCTAGTTGGAAGCGTATGTTGTTTTAGACATGCATCCAGTTGACTTTCGAAACTTCGAATATCAATACACTATATAGTATATTTGTCTCAAGAACTTTCTTGAATATTATACTTTTTACACGGTCTGATATACATAATGCACTAAAAGTTAGTGGTCAAACTACTGTTCTAGATAGTGTCCCATTGTCCAAAATTACATGTATTTTATGAATTGAGGGAATCATCACCAGACGCCTAATCAGTCATGTCTTTCTACGATTAGAAGTTCATCGTGCAAATTTGGACTCGTTTGTTTTGCGAATCGCAAATGGTATGCCCAATTCTGACTTGTTGTGAATCAACTTGCAGCTTGCTTTGGAAGAATATGGTGACAGTGATGATGATGATGATGATCCAGGTGTTAGAAATGGGGAATGTGAACTGCCTACTGAGGTTATTGATGAACTGAAACTGTTCCATAGTCAAAATGTATCTGTCACAGAAGAATATAGAACGCCGGCAGATTTTGTTCGTAGAAAATTGGATTCAAGCACAGCAGAGGAGGTGGATGAATCTGCTAATGTAATCCAAAAATGTGCTGAATATGCTGAAAGGTATTTAAATGAAACTGCTGAAGAGGAAGAAGTTGTACTTGTTTCAGAAAGCAGTGATGAGTCTGAAGTTTGGGACTGTGAGACTATTGTTTCCACATACTCAAATCTTGACAACCATCCTGGAAAGATTCAAACACCAGGAAATCCTAAAAATAGGCTCCCTAAAGTTTTTCCTGGAGAAACAGCTACAACGAAAGATATCATCAGGCTTCAAGGCAAAGAGAGACTTCCAGTAGAATACCTACCACAGAGGAAAAGAAATGGTGAGAAGGAGAAGAAAGCAAAGCCAACAGAAACTCCAAGTGCTGAAAGTTTTAAGAAAGGAGCTCAAAAGGAAACAAAGGAGGAAAAGAAAGCAAGAAAGGTAAAAGAGTGGTTTTAGGATATTCTTGCAATCATGTACTGTTATTCCTTAAAACAGTAGAGAATACCGGGAAAGCATTTTAATTGTGTTTATTTGATTCATTTGGAGGCTTCAACGGTTGACCAAATGTATGCTGCATTATACCTGCGACCTATGTAGTCATTTCATCATTTGTAGTATAAAAATCTTGAAGTACTAATCTTTAAGTTGTCTGTAGGTTCAAGTTTAGTTTAAACTTTTTTCAAGATAAACTAGCGTTAATTTATGGTACAACAGTTGCCTAGCTATTAGCGTATTTCTTGGTGGTTATGTTGAATTGATAAGTGTTCTTCAAGATTACAATGTGTTCCTAGCTGGAGCAGTGTTGTAAAATGATTTGTAAATCGGCTTAATATGGTGAACCACTTTTTTTTGTTTTAATAATTTTTAAATTGTTTATTGGTATGTGTAACATCCTTGTCATCTGGGCTGTTTCTTGGTATACATGTAGGCTGCAGTGAAAGAAGAGAAGAGAGAAGCACGGAAAGCAAAGAAAGAGCTGAAAGGCCTGTACAAATTTGAAACACAGAAGGCTCAGAAGGTTGCTGCTGTTACAGGGCCAGCTTCTATACGGCTAATGTAAGTCACCCTGTTGCCACGTTACACCATCTGAAATGAATATGCCCAAAGGTTTTGACTTATTGCTGCTGGAAGAAATGAAAAAGAACTCCGCCACTGTTTGCTCCTTAGATAAAGAATTCAGCGGTAGTGTTATGTCAAGTGAAATGTAGATATACCCATCCTGGGTAGTACTATCTACTGCAGAATATGATCCAATTGCAAGTTTGCAACAACTTTGATTTGGGCATCGAAACAGCTAGAAAGAAATTCAGAACTCAGAACAGAAGATATTTGTGTAGACAGCTCACGAAGTGTTGTCACCTTTTAATCTTGAGTGAATTCTTCCCTTCCCATTTACTTGAATTTTATTTTGTCCTGTTTTTGCTGCCAACATCAAAAACAATTAAGGGAAGAGAATTAAGAACTATATAGTTGGCAGTTTCTTTGTTGTTTGATGTTGTAAAACCAATTTGGTTTCATGATTGCACCTAGCTCTGCTCTGCTTTGCGCTACACGTTCCTTCTTAGGTTTGATGTAAACACTTTTTAGTGGATTTATACAAATACTCTCTACTCTCTATACTGATTTGACTCTTTTTTACTTGATCAGGTAATAACCATGTTGATTTGTAAACATGTTCTGCACGATAACGACGCAATGTGAGTCGTAAGGAGATCCTCATCCTACAAGGTACGACGGCAAGATATGATACACTGATACCTCCTGGGTCATCTTGTGCCATGTTTGTGGTTTTTGTCGACTAGATACCCAGTGTATACCATGTTTGGACTTCTGTATGAGAAATATGTCGTGTAAGACGTAGGTTATCTAATGGACACAGTGGCGCTATTTTGAATGTGATTTTACACTGAAGTTACCCAAGATTTTCAATCTGCATATACGCACTGCAAATTTCCTCTAGAAAAGTTGTGCTCTAAGCACAGGCTGCAAGAAGGGTTTTGAAGACTGGTTTTGCCGGAAAAGAACTAGTACAAACAAAAGTTGCTAGGCAGACAATTTTGGCAATGTTTTCATAGATCTAGGCTAGTCTACATAATAGATCCGAAATGGATCAAAGTGTTGATAAAGTATCTTTCATAGGACACTTCACAAAATAAGATATACATACAACTGTAAAAATTGATACAACTTTGATAGAATGGCGTACTGGGAATACACGTGAGTACGTTGTTTTAATACTCCCTCCTATTTTAAAATAGAAAAAAAAAGTCAAAATAACTCCCTATAATTAGTTTGAAAGTCCATCTAGCATTCTGAAGTTTAAAACCGAACATTCAATTCCCTAAACTTTACACTAACATTCATTTAACAACCTAACAAGCTTAGGTGTGTTTGGCAAATGGGATTTGAGAGATGAATGGCTAGGGTATGTTTATTAAATGGGATTTGAGAGGTGGGATTGGGAAAGTGAAATGGATGAATGGCTAGGATTAAATGAGGTGTGAAGAATGGATGACTATGATGCAATATTGTCTTTTGGAGGGTGAGATGTTATTTCTCAATCACATTTGTCAAACAAAGCCTTAGTTGGAGGGGGTAATATGAAGTGAACTGTATTATAAAGTTGGATGGGTTGGATGTCCTAATTTAACAATGGACTTTTCATATAAAGTTTAGAGGGGTTTTCAGACATTTCTTTTTAAAATATAGGGTGTTTTTTTATTAAGTTTAACTGATTCCCCGATGGATTTGGATACACCATCGTGCTCTTCAACTCGTTCTGCCGTGCCGCCGTCGGTAACGTCCAAGGTCTCCTCGCCTGGGGACTGGGGAGTACATCGACCCTGGTCCTTGGCTCCTGAGACAGCGTGTGGTCTGTCTCTGTGTCGAGCGCGGTTACGAAGCCTCCGCTACATGCTCTGGAACCCGTGCTCCACTGCCTGCGCCACTGTCTCTCCCCCCGGGCCAGCCGCGACGGCGGCCATGCGCTTCCACCCCCTGCACCGCTTCCGGCAAAGTCCGCAGGTCCCCTTCCCCTAGAATCCGGCATGTTTCTCCCGACTGCCTACTACCTCCAGAGAATCCGACATGGTTAGGAAGGCGAATAGGTAGGTGCGCCAATAACATCCATCTCTCTAAGATGCAGGGAACCCGCTCCGTCGTCCTGCACTGGCTGGTTGCAGCTGCAGGTGCTCGTGTTCGAGCTCATGCCTGGCGCACGAGATCAAGTTCCATCGCATTTGTTGCCAATTAGCATTCGGGATTGCTAAAAAAAACTTTCGACAGATTTTTGGGTAGAAATATACTCTGAGATTCGTGCTCTGTGTGTGTGTGGTGGGGGGGGGGGGGGGAATGATTTCATCTGAGATTCAACTACAGATTGCTAAGTCTTGAACCCGCGACCTCCCCCTCGCGCGCGCAGCCTCTGAGCTTTGCCAAGTTTACTGTACTTGCACCCTACTCCCTCCATATCTGTAAAGGAAGTCGTTTAAGAAAATGTTTAAGTCAAACCTTAGAAATATAAATCATGAATAACTCTTGAGTTGTTGAGTTTGAAAATGTTAAAATTATATGAATAGATATGTCTTGAAAAATACTTTCATAAAAATATACATATATCACTTTTCAATAAATATTTTTATAGAAACAAGAAGCCAAAGTTGTATTTTAGAGACCGTATCGCTGTCCAAAACGACTTCCTTTACGAGTACAGAGGGAGTACTTACATTCTATTTACATTATAGTTATATATTAATTATATTACGGTGCAACTGCATTTGACATATTTTTGGGGACTTTTTCTGTTGAATGTTAGATAGACATTCCCTTAGTATTTATACATATTTATTTCACGATATACCAAGTTAATGTGGACTATTCATTGGGCATTGATCAATTTACTAAAAGCTGTAACACCCCAATTTTCGTGTGGCATTAAAAACTAATTTAATAAAATTATATATACGAAAATTTTGTTCTTTGAGTGTTGAGCTTAAGTTGTACCCTAGATCTCAAGTTAAATCCCTCCTTTGTTATGTCTTCATGATGCCAAAAATCAACCCCTCCAAATTTTCGTTCCAAAGTAATATCTTCCATTCAGATTTCTCTACTAAAACCCTATCCACAAATTTCGTCGAATATTCAAATTCAAGTTCGGTTCAACAATTCACCTCCAAACCCTAAACTCTCTCCTGGGTCTCCTGAAATCCATACTCGAATTTGAATTCAAACTCTCAAGTTTCATCCATCTCTCTCTCTCCCTCGCTCTATCTATCTCTATAACCCTTTGAATCCTTTCCCGAATATTTGTTCCAACTCCAAGGAAAATTCCAAATTCAATTCCTTTATTTGAACCCCAATTTCTAAGATTATTTCCTTTCTCCTTAAATCCCTCCCAAATAATTCTCCAAGCCCCAAATATAAAACTATTTCAAAAATATCAACCTCCCACTTCGATGTCCCATGCTTGACTCCTACATATTTTCCTGAGTCCAAATATCTAATTTGAATTCAAATACTCAAAATTTGAATAGTCCCTTAATACAAAACAAACATTATATTAAAATATATTTAATGCTAAATTTAATAAAATTAATTTCGTGTTGTAGATGTTATTAATTTTTTCTATAAACTTGGTTAAACCTAAAGAACTTTGACTAAAAAAATCAAATGACTTATAATATGAAAACAGGGGAGTTTTTTCAACGGGGGAGCATGAAAAAACTTGCTTGCTCACCCCACTTGCATCCATGGAGAAGCGGTGCTTTTGCAGTTATCCCACCCTTCCAATACTTGCCCACAACAAAAACTCACGATTGTACGCATCCAATTCGAGGGTGGTTTCCCGATTGAAGATGGGACTAGGGCTGTCAACGAGCCGAGCTCGAGCGAGCTCGCCTGCCTAGGCTCGAGCTCGATACAAGCTTGAGCCTATCGAGCTCGAGCTGAGCCTATAAAATGTTCGAATTTTCAAACAGGCGCGGTTCAAGCTTGACTACCAAGCTCGAGCTCGACTACCGAGCTCGAATTTTAATTAGAACAATTTATATTTCAAAGGATATTTTTTAAAAAATAATAATTTATGGTTTATCATATTAGTAGAAGAGGAAAAAGAATAAAATAAATATATGCTGCCAATACAAGGCATACAAATAACATATTTGATCTTCCAATTTATTAAATAGCAACAAAAAAATCATAAATTACTAGTCTCGTTAGAAGCTTGAGCTCGGCTCGACAAAGCTCGCGAGCTTTGGAACAGGCTCAGGCTCGGCTCGTTTGGAGCTCGAGCTGAGCTCGAATCGAGCCTAGGATGAGTCGAGCTCGAATAGCTCGCGAACCTCGAGCTTTTTTGACAGCCCTAGATAGGACTATAGTATGCAACGCACGGTGCAAGTGCGCGTGAAAGAACGGTGTTTCTTTCCTCTCCCTCTCTTCTATTTTAGCAAGTCTTCTGTGTAGTTGGAGATGATAACATATTTTTATAATGGGAAACTATCTAATCTCTCGAAAGTATATCCCTTCGTTGTTCATATGTCACTCAAATGGTAGTGAAAAAAAATATGAGAAGATATATTAACACATGATATATCACGCTATAAATATGCAAGTTAAAATTTAACTTCTATATATCATAACGGAAAACAAATAAATTAAACTAAGCTAGTTAGATATTGACTGTTAAATTTGTTTTTTTTTGGTTATACGACATGTAGAAGGGATCCAGAATTTTATTAGGACCTGGCCCATTCCTTGAAAAAGGAGGCCTACAAAGAAAGGAATAAGTTCATCTGAGGTCCTTTAACTTATTAACGAATCCGATTTTCGTCCTTCAACCCCAAAACCAGAAACAACGGGTCCCTCAACTATCAAAACCAATATAGATGGCGGTTTTGGTTCACGTGGCGCCTACGTGGCTGGTTTGACTTGATCTTCATTTGACGTGGCTCTAACATGGCGCTTACGTGGCAATTCGATCCAGAAAAATAATAAAACCGATGGGATCCACATGTTAGTTTTAGACATAAAAATAATAGAAAAGGTGGGACCCACGTGGGCCCCACATGTCATCCTCACTCTCCCCTCCCCTCTTCTCTCTGTCTATCTTTTTCTTTTCTTTTTCATTCCTTTTCTTCTTTTTCTTTAGAAGCTGGTATCTGGCGGCCGACACGAGAGGGCGACCGACAACGCGAGCGCCGCGTCGGCGGAGAGGGCGGCCGAGGCAGGAGAGGAGCGGTGACGCGCATGGGCCGGCGGGAGAGGAAGGGGACGCGGGAGGTGGCCCTAGCTGCGGCGGCCGGTGGGAGAGGAGATGGTGTCGACGGTGAGGAGGATGCTCGTCACGGTCGGCGAGCGCGGCGCACACGCGGCGGGCCGAGGAAGGTAGCGGGGACGACGATGAGAGGAGGTGGAGCACGAATCTGGACAGCGGACTGTGGCGGCGGAGCGACTGAGGTCGAGCAGCGTGACCTGGCCGCGTCCCCCTCACCAGCCAACGCGGGAGATCTGGTGGTGGTGGTGGCCGGTGGTGGTTTCTGAACCACCAGGCGCGTCGCAATCCCAGAGCTTGGGCCCCGACAGGGTCTAGGTCATCGCACGGAGGAGCATCGGCGCGGGCAGTCGTCGTCGCCGAAGTTGGCACGGAAGAGGGTTATCCTTGTTGTCGCCGGACGGGCAGCGGCCGGAGGCCCGGACTAGAGCGTCGGAGCATGCCGACTACCACCACAACCGCCTCTTGCTGCTATGGATCGCCGCGGCCACCTCCTCGCCGGCCATCCCGCTCGAACGCCGTCTTCTTGCTGCCCCAAAGGCTGCTGCAACATTGCGCATGGAGGATATGGGGCGGCGCCCCTGGCCCCACCGTCCGCCCGCGCTAGAGAAGCGGAAGGCCGAGCACCGCCTTGGCCCCGCCGTCCTGCGCTAGAGAAGAGGATGGGCGGCTGCTGCCTTTGGCCCCACCATCTGCTGAGGAAGAGGAGTATCCCATTGTTTTTTAGTCTAACTGGTATGCGGGCCCCACATTTATTTTTTTTTAATATTTTGCTTTTAGTGATCACTGCCACATAGGACGAGGACCAAGTCAAACCAGCCACATCACTGTCACGTCAGCCTAAACCACCATCTAAATCGAGGGCCTTATTTGCACCGGTTATGATAGTTGAGGGACCCGTTGTATCTGGTTTTGGGGTTCAAGGACGAAAATCGGATTCGATGACAAGTTAAGGGATCTCAGGTGAACTTATTCCACAAGGAAATCATTCACGAACTAGATTATATGCATTTTTGGAAGCCCACGGGACAGGAAATTACCGGCCCTATCCACATCACTTCCCAGGGGGATAGGATTTCCCGGCCCTTTCCACCCATAAGCTCGCGTCATTCGCTGATCGCATCTCCGTCGTCACGAGCAGCCGCCGCCTCCGCCTCTCCCACCCGCGAGATTCCGCCGTCACCGACCGCAAGCTGCACTTCCCTCTTCTTCTAACTGATGTCAGGCGACGGCCCTCGATGGTAATGTTCCGGTGAGACAAAAATGAACTTCTTTTTAATTTCTTTCGATGAAAGGACTAATAATCCTCCCACAAGTTTAGGACTCCTGATCATGGTTTAATTTTTTGGTTTGGCCGATTCTATTGGAGGTCACCAGTATAAGGAAATTTCTGTCCGAAATTTTGAACAAATGTTAGTCAGATTTGAACAAAATATTATCAAATTCACAAAATAAAAATAAAAATTTTGGTCGAAATAATATCGTATCGGGGGATCCGAAATGGCTGAAATTTCTAACCATGCTCCTATTCCTGAATGAAGCATAAGTTCCGTTACAGTTTGATCTAATCTCGGCACATTTGAATTTGATCTAATCTCGGCACATTTGAAATTGATTTGTCTCTGCAAGAGGGCTTTGATATCTATGGGGTGAAATTGATTTGTCTCTGCAAGAGGGCTTTGATATCTATGGGCTTGTTTGGTTCTTTACCCTACCAATTCATTGGTAGTGCCAAAGTCTAGGAAAATTTTGGCACTACCAAAATATTGGTAGGGTAAAATTATTTAGCTAACATTTGGATTGCTACCAATTTAAAGCCAAATTCTTATAGCATAGTGAAGAAACTTCTAGAATATGACCAAATATTTTAGGGGCACTACCAAATATTTAGTCTCAATCCAAACTAACACACAAACTATTCAATTTGCCAATAAATTGGTAGGGTATGTTTTTGGCATCAAACCAAAACGGCCCTATACGAGATGAAGGAAAATGCCTGACCTGCCGACCATGGACGACGACGACGACAAGATGGGCACTCACGCACAGGTGCAGCAGCTGCCCGACGAGCTGCTCTTGGAGATCCTGCTCCGCCTGCCGCCCCGCGCCATCGCGCGCTGCCTCGCCGTCTGCTCGGCCTGGAGCTCCGCCGTCTCCGCCGCGGCCTTCCGCCGCGCCCACGCCGACCGCCCGGCCGCCGTCTGCAAGGCCACCGCCACGGCGATCGACTGCTGCGACCGCGACGCCGTCGTCCTCGACGCGTTCCTCGGCCGCTGGCACCGCGGCAACGTCCACACCACGCCGCGGTCTCCGCGCGGCCTCGTGTTCCCGGCGGCCATGGCCCCCGAGCCCGACACCCCGTGGGTACTCGATACGCTGGTCGTCGGCTCCTGGGACGGCGTGCTCTGCGTCGAGCGAGGTGCTCCTCTGCTCCGGGGAAGCCGCTGGGACGCCGGCGTCCATCACTGGCCCAAATCCGGCCGGCTCCGGGAGTACGTGCTCTGGAACCCACTCGCCATGACCCGCGCCACCGTCTCTCCGCCGCCCGGCCGCGGCGCTGTCATCGGAGGCTACGCCCACCCGGCCACCATGCGCTTCCACCTACTTCACGCCGCCGGCGAGGCCGCACGCCGTCCAGGTAGCCTCGGCCTGTTCGTCCCGACCGTCTTCCGTGTCCAGCGAGTCGGAGACGGCGCCTGGCGCGAGGTTCCCCTCCCTCTCCTGGAACAACAAGACGATCACGCGCACGCGCAGCTGCAGATGCACGGCGCTCGCTCCGTCGCCCTGCACGGCAACCTGCACTGGCTGGTGCAGCGGGGTGGATCGGCCGGACCCGGACGGCTGCAGGTGCTCGTGTTCGAGCCGGCGCGCGAGAGGTTCCGGCTGATGGAGGCGCCGCCACGGCGCCATGGCGAGGAGGACGACCTGGCAAGATCGCGGATCGTCGTCCTGTCCAACGGCAAGCTCTGCGCCGTGGCCGTGCGCCCGGCCACCAGCACGATGGAGATGTGGGTGCTCGACTCCTCCTCCTCCGACGCGCCGCGGAGATGGCGGCTCGACGCGTACAGCCTCCGGCGAAGGAAGTGGACGAGGGTGTGCGCCGCGCGCCCCAGGAGTGGTTCCGTGGGCGTGGCGCTGCTGCCGCACCGGGAGAGCGTTGCTGATGATCAGCCCAGCTTCGGCGAGGCGTCCCGGCTGCTCGACCACACCATCGACATCGACGTCGATGACCAGTACTTGTCTATGAACCCAATTACTTTGTTTTGTTACTGAACACCGATTGAGTTATTTATATCAGCTTAGTTTTATTAATTTTAGGAAATGAATAAAATAAGAACTATCTTATAAAGAATTAATTTGTTGGTGGTATTTTTGTTTGTTTGATGTTAGAAGTTAAACTAACCAACGTCAAATATAAAAGGAAGGACGTAGTAATATGCTAGGATGATTGAATCTGACTCTGCTACATGCGCCTTCATTGGGCGAATCGATACGGGAAACTGTTTTAATTACCACCCGTTTATTACATGTCATCTAAACGGTTATGAAAATAATTGATATGATAAGATAGTTTAATATGTAAAATATCACTCCACAAACATATAAGTTAAAATTCGACTTCTACAAAAATAACAAACAAAACGTTAATTACTATTTGTATAATTGCAGCTAAATTTGTTATTTTTGTTACAATTTGTAGAAGTTGAATTTGAAATTGCATGTTTGTGGAGTAATATTACATATTAATATATTTTGTCATTTTTTTGAATTTTTTCATAACCATTTAAGTTGACATGCAATAAACGGGTGGACGTCCACTCGAGTGATTAGAATCCATCTCGATACAGATATCTTACTCAGTAACGCATGCTTGACTCTCCACACACACCCAGATAGGTGTTTTAAAATTCATATACATAGGGAACTCTAGATTTCAGATGATTGAAATTGTCAATAATTTTAGTCATTTTTCTCGTCCCTTTGATGGCAATCCAATGATCCTCGTTGCTTCTCTTTTTCACCCCTTTTTAAAAGGTTGACCTACATACTTAAACATACAAAATTTACAAGAAATAAATCTATAATTAATAAAATTTACAAAATTACATGAAAATGATGCAAACTTAGATAAAAAAAAATGAAGTGAAGCCACATATAACAATAAAATTGCAGTTAAGAAGTAAAACTACACATTACATACTACCGCAATTTTAGACATAGGAATACATATATGGTGTGCAGCGGTCGGATCCACCGCTAGCTCCCGCGCCCCTCGCAGTCCGCCGGGGTCGCCGCCGTCGCCATTGGCGGTCCGCCGTTGTCACGCGCCCGTCCCACGGCCGGATCCGTCGTCTGCGACCCTGCAGCAGCCGGATCCACCGTTCCCACGCCCATCCCGGGCGGGGATTTGTGGCCCGAGCCCCTCGCAGGTCGTCGTGGTCACTGCCGTCTCCGTCGCCGGTCCGCCGAGGTCACACCGATCGATGCCGAGAGGAGGAGGAGAAGATGTGGACGCCGAGAGTAGGAGGAGAAGCTGTGGCCTGTGGGAGGAGAGGTTGGGGGAGGTAGGGGAGAGGTAGGAAATGAGGAGGAGGTGAGGTGAGAGGAGAAGACAAGATCGTCGGTGGGAGTGGAAAGAGATAACATCCGTGCGATTTTGATATAGGGAATTTCTTTTCACAGTCGGTGCTCCTTATCTACCGCCAGCTAAAATCAATTTTTTACCAGCGGTTGTTTAAGTGGGCTGCCAGCGAAAATAGGTTCTTAGCCCCTCACCCCTCGTTATAATTTTGTAGGTGGATTTCACAAAAAGCCGCCAGTGAAAATAATATGGTACCGCCATGAAAAATCGATTTTGTAGTTGTGATAGCTCTTCCTGCAGAATATTTTTTTTTCTTCCGTCTGGTCCGTGCTTCCGCGGGACCAGTATAATAGTAGGTATTAAATACCTCTAAGTTGACTTCTTAAAAAAATGACGTCATTTGTAATTTTTCACGGAAACTAATATTTCATGGTATTTGTATACTGTAGTCCTTTTCTGCTTTACTTACGTAGGCTATTTCTCATGTATTTTCAGAAAGTTTTGATCCATGTTTTAGAAGAAGCTGGCTATACAAAAGATTCACATTTTACTCTACCAGACTTTATGAAATTAAGCTCCAATCTAGTACTTTATTCCCTTGGATCTCTTTAACCTCAACATACAAATATTTTCTGCACCAGTGTATCAGGAGCATACACATTTGATTGATTTTCCGTGAATCAGCTAGATGTTCTAGAACGATTATATCTTGTCTGTTATTTGATTGATTTTATTTTGAATAAGCTGATAATGATCTAATTAAAGTATAGTTGCCATCATCTCCGTATTTGTTGTAAATCGTTCATCACATCACTTCAGGTTTCATAGCATTATCGGGAAAAGTTCTCAAACTAGGATGAATAAAGTTTCCTCTAAAGCAAATAAGTGAGAAATGTGATGCGTATCGAGGACTTTAATCTTTCAGAAACAAACATAAGTTGTCTACGAGAGACTATAAGCCAGTTATAAACATATTTTAAGAAGATAAAAGAAGAGAGATAAGAGCAGTGGGCTATAAGTGTAGATACAATAGCAGACTATAAGCCAGCTATAAACATATTTTAATGAGATAAAAGAGGAGAGATAAGAGCAGTGGGCTATAGATTTGTAGCCAGCTACAGCACGGACTCCAAGACGCATTTGTGTATGACAGGTGGGCCAGATATTGATTTTGTAGCATATGTTTATAGATAACTATTGTATGAATTGGATATTAAGTTAACTATAGATTGATTTGGAGCCTGTAGTAGGTTTCGCCAACCCATATAGATCCTGAAGATAAAAGAATCGACTGAACAAATAACTTCGATTTCGAATACTGAACGATAACCCGCATAGATTCTACATATATTTAACAACATGCTATGGTAAAGTATAGGTCCAAATAGATATTTCGAAAAGAAAATTTAAATGGTAATCCAATAATATTATTTTTAGCAAATAAAATTTAGTTTACAATTAATTATTTAACTATTTATTGATTTAAAGAGTTGAATTAAATATGGTCGCGCCTTACTGAGTGGCACGGAGGGGGAGAAAATATTTTTATAGGGAGTAGAGATGCTGGCCATGGTCGTCGACGATGAGCTGAAGCCGCCACTGTTGGGAATAGTCCCACATTACTAATCTAGGGGGAGTTGAACCAACTTAAAAGTGGGGGGAGCCCCTTACCTCTTGACCTAGCTTTTGGGATGTAGCAAGGCTTTCTCCCAATTGGGCCAACGTCTCCCGATTTTGGGCCAACAAGTTGGTATCAGAGACAAACCCATAATCTCTATTGCTTGTGCACACTCAGGGTGGTGTAAACCCAAAGCCCAGTGGACAGCGGGTGTGAGGCCGATCAGTGGACCACGGGTGTGAGGCCCGTATGTGCCTGTGTGTGGGGCTGATCAGGGCTAAGGGGTACCAATGTGTGACGGGGGAAATTGTTGGGAATAGTCCCACATTGCTAATTTAGGGGGAGTTAAACCAACTTAAAAGTGGGAGAGCCCCTCACCACTTGAACTAGCTTTTGAGGTGTAGCAAGGCTTTCTCCCGGTTGGGCCAACGTCTTCCGGTTTTGGGCCAACAGCCGCGACGCCTCGCCGAAGCTCACGTCGTGCCGCACGACGCTGCGGCAGCAGCGTGGCGAAGCGGGAGACGGACACCGTCGACCACGCCCTGCGCCGGCATACGCGTCGATGTTGGCCGTCGTTGTGGAGGATCACCTCCTCGCCCTCCGCGTCGCCCTGCACCGCTGACACCTGCGTCGCCGACGAGAAAGCCCTCGACAGGTCGCGCTTGTCCCACATCATCACCAGGCCGACCCTCTCCGCGAGCCGCCACGCCCGCGCGCCGCCGGAGGAGTCGTCGTCGTCGAGCACCCACATCTCCATCGTGTTCGTCGCCGGCGAGACGGCCACGGCGCAGAGCTTGCCGACGCCGGACAGGACGACGACCCGCGACATGGCCAGGCCTTTCTTCTCCTCCCCCCCCCCCCCCCCCCCCCGCCACGGCTGTCGTCCCACGGCGGCGCCTCCATCAGCCGGAACCTCTCGCGCGCTGTGTCGAACACGAGCACGTTCAACCGCGCGGTCGAGCCCGAGCCACGCTGCACCATCCAATGCAGGTTCCCGTGCAAGCTGACGGATTGAGATGCCTGCATCCTGAGAAAGATTATGGTTCTCCTTCTCCGCTGCAATTTTGCATGTTTGCGTCGTCGTGGCCGTCTTCTTCTTCCTGCTGTTCCAGGAGGGGAACCTCGCGCCAGGCGCCGCCGTCTCCGACTCGCCGGACACGGATGGCCGTCGCGGCGAACAGGCCACGTTCCGCCTCGCCGGCGGCGTGCAGGAGGTGGAAGCGCATGGTGGCCGGGTGGGCGTAGGCGCCGATGATGACGCCGCGGTCGCCGCCGGGCGCCGGGGGAGGGACGGTAGCGCAGGCCCGGGTGAGCGGGTTCCAGAGCACGAACTCCCGCTCCCGCCGCTCCGGCTGCGTGTTGTCTAGGTCGGGCCCGAACCTGAAGAACCGAGAAGTGTACTCGACGTCGACGCAGACGACGCCGTCCCAGGAGCCGACGACCCAGGTGAGGGCGTGGTGCCGCCATGGTCGCGAGCTGGAGGCGGGGACGGCGGCGTGGTGTGTGGACGTTGCCGCGGTACCAGCGGCCGCGGAACGTGTCGAGAAGCAAGGCCTTGCAGTAGCGCCATGGCTTGCCAAAATATGCCAATTCGGAGGTGACCTTGACGACAGCGGCCGGGCGGTGGGCGGCGAGGGCGCGGTGGAAGGTCGGGGCAGAGACGGCGGAGCGCCAGGCCTTGCAGACGGCGAGGCAGCGCACGATGGTGCGCGGCGGCAGGCGGGCCAGGATGTCCTGGATCACCTTAGATGCCTCCAATAATTCAGAGAAACAAACAGCTCGCAGCTTATTCTATGTCAGCTTATTATAATCTAGCTTAGAGTAATCTGATTTAATAATCTAGATTACAATAATCTTAAGCTGAAACAAACAGGACCTTAGTATGAGAACTTTATAAGTGATCGTATAAATATAACAACTTGCAAGGTAGGTACGATTTTGATACAATAAACTAAGAAATTATGCGACAACTTAATTATTTGGAGCATTTTCTACATAGATTCAATTTAAGTAATTATTTTGACAATATACTAGTGTGGATTTGTATAAGCATATTTATATTTTTATTATAATAATTAATAACTTGAAGTCAATTAAACTGGATGTAAAAATTATTATATTTCGGTTGATATTTGAGAAGGTAAAGAAAACGAAAAAAAATTTTAAGGTAATTGGATGTAAACTGTATATGCAATATAATTACTAAAGATTAAATTTAATATCTAAGGTAATATCTGTAGGATTGCTATGTAATGGCATTATTGATATCGGGAAAAAAACTCACCTAGCATATGCCTAGCCAAATTGATGCACCAAAATACAAATTGTCAAGTTCTTGTAGTAGAACGCACCTACCTGTCAAGTTGTTACACTTGGACGCTCATTTCTCAAGTTCTTGCACTATATCGCACCCACCTGCCAAGTTGTACCGTGGGTGCAATTTACTCTTCTTTCTTCTACAGATTTTTGGAAGCCAACCTTGCAGGTTTCGAGTACCATTAGGTGCATCTGGTACTAGCAAGTACTAACCCCTTCCAGCTGTTAGATCTTGTGTGATGGATGGTCAGGATTCGGTACCTCCTCTTCAAAAAGGGCCCAAATAAATTGATTCATTATTTTGTTTTGTTTGAAGGAAAATGATTATGCACATTGGCTGGCTATGTACACACAATTGACCTGTTATAAGCATGAGGTCTCTGTTATACGTCATATATCATCACATTTATCATTTACAGCAGTACCAGAAAAGATCTCCATACAGATTAAGAGTTCTGAATCTTTAGAGAGTGCTTAAAATAAATCATTTAGGGAATGGAAAAAAAACTGCAATCAGATGAACCAACATACTGCAATGCAAATTCAGTGCAAACAAACTCCTAGCGCACTCAATCCCTTATTTTCAACATGCTACATGTAGATATTCAGCGTTTATTTTCTGAACCAAACTGATATACACTACTTGTGTTTCATACTTGCAGTAGTGGTCTCGTGCCATTGTGCAACAACACAGACAAGACTAAACCAGATCAACTTCTATAGTGTCCTAATTCTGGAGAAAAGGGATAGCTTCCCAAAAAAAATAAATACAGATCAAAGTGCCAGTATTAACCACCCACAACTAAACTTGTTGTTAAAACTCAATCTCGAAACATGACAAAAAAAAGCTCATCAAGATGTTCTATGCCAACTATCCATGTTGCATCAGCCAACAGGTGAATCTTGATAATTGAACAATTAACAAGCTAGCAATCCATGTAGAAAATCTCAGATCATTGGATTAAGAAGGCGTGCATGTATCCAACTACTGCATTATATTAATAAATTCACAAAATCCAGATGTACCACAAAGCAAAAAAGGCTTTTACTGACATGCAGCCAGAGAGATTGCTAACCTTAAAGCAGAAAGGGCCAAAAAATGTATACTCCATGCTGGTTGTTTACACACACAAATACTACAGAATTGACCTGTTATACATATGAGATTAACAAAAATTGAGGAGCAAGGAACAGAGTAGCAGCAAGCATAAACATGAATATAAAAGAGAACTTGATCACTCCATGTTCAGTTAAATAAAGTCCAAAGGAGCTCTGAATATGCAGTAGCACTTAAAATGTCAGAGATCAGAACTAGCTTACTAATACCAACAGGCAGAACCGATCATACATAATTCAGGCAGAATTTTCATTGGGGGAAGGAAAACCTGAATGCAGATGATGCAACTTACAGCAATGTCAGCAACATCAGTGTAAACAAACTCCTATAAACCTACATTCAGATGCTTTTTTCCCTCGAAATTAACTAGATAGATACAAAATGACACTACTCTGTTTCCTATACAGCCAATGAACCACAAACTCAACCAGATAAAATTCCAGTGCTCTAATTCATGAGTAAAATAATCTCAGTTTATTACTTGAATCCTCAAAAGATACAGAACAAACTACCCGTATTAACCACCCATGGCTAAACTTATTCCTAAATTTGAATCCCCAAACATGACAGAAAAAAATATTTAAGAACATCTTGACAATTGAACAATTAACAAGCGCTAGCAATCTTGGTAGAAAATCACACATCATCAGATTAAGAAGGCATGGTCGCATGGTTATATCTTTTTTTTTTGAACGGAAGTCGCATGGTTATATCTGAGAAAACACTACTTCATTATAAAAAAAATCCACAGAATTCAGGTGAGGATCGACATAGAGGTAGCACAACTGCACAAAATCAACCAAAATGTTCAACCAATGTTTCAGAATTCATCGGTCAAACGTCACGAACAGGTCATAAATCAGGAACAGGTTGATCGAATGGCAAACACGAGTAAGAGATAGACAGACCAACGAGGAATCAAGCATAAGAAGTCTCGACGGAATCAGTTGGCGCCGGATACATCCTGCCGGGCGCCGACGGCCCTCTCGGTGCCCAACTTCGCATTCCCGATCGCGCCCTGGAGGTTATCATCGGCGGCGAAGAGCTCCTCCTCGACGCCAGGGACACGCGCGGATGGTCCAGCAGAGGGAGGATCGCATCCAGGTTGCTGCGGCACCCGTCAACACTGACGTCCTTGCCGGCTTCATGGAGCTTTGGTTCTAGCGTTCCACTCCGCGAGGTACCAAGGAGGCCGATCTCGCCCAGACGCGTCGATGGGTTGACGCTGCCGTCGTGGAGCGCGAGGAGCTCGGCCACCCCACCTTCATGAGGGACATCGCGGAGGAGAGATTTCTGGACGCGTCCCCCGAGCTCTCCCATCGCAAGCTGGATGGATCCTGGTGCGCGCGGCGGCCGCCTCCTCCTCGTCCCCCCGCGTGCATCGGTGACGTCACGTGCGCCAGCGCCTTGGCGACGTAGTAACAAACAGAACTCTAAAGCAAATTGGTACTAAGTCTTAATGTATTGCTACAACTAGAACTCTTGAAGAATCAGAGGACCAAAGTCGTCCTTCCCATTTCCAGTAGAAAAAAGGAGTATAGGACTTCATTTCAGCTGAAAGAGAACAGCAAAAGTGGAGATCAGTAGCAAATCTGAGCCGTATGTTCACCATGCGCCGGTGCAGCTAGTTCAGTTTCTTCGCCTTGACAACAGAATCGTCCAGGCATCGGACAACTCCTGAGCAACGGCTTCCTGAGCGCAGCGCATCTCATTCGTTGCCATAGTGGCCTCGAGGGCAGCGACTGCCGTGAATTTTTCGGCCTCCGATGCCCACACATCCCACAGCGGGCACCCGTAGGCAACGCTACCCATGATGACGAGGGCGACCTTGCCCGCCTCGGCGTTTGACACCGTATCGATCACCCTCTTCAGCGCCTTGCTGATGTGGTCAACGGCTTCCTGGTGGTGGACGTCCCAGCTGCGGTACGCCGGGTCATCCTGCTGGGCGCCGAGGTGCGCGACGTAGCGAGCGAGGACGTGCCTTGTCTTCGCGTGGAGAACGGTGCTCTGCGAGATCTCGCGGCGGGCGTCCTCAAGGGCCACGGTGGGGCAGATTCCCTCGGGATCCAGCTGGTAGGCAGAATTTCCTTCGACGGGGACGGCCGCCGCCGGCGTCTCCTGGCGTAAGTTCACGCGCAGCATAGCGACGCGTTCCTGGAGCTTGCCATGGGCATCTCGGATCAACCTGAGCGCTTTCAGCCCGCCGGTGGCGACGAGCAGGAAGGCTCCAGGGAGTGTCCTCTCAATCTCTTGCCACCACTTGTCCACCGCCGCCGGTGGAGCTCTTCCGCGACGCAGAATCGCTACGGCGTCGAAGAACTCGAGAGCAACAGATTGGCGCGCCCGGAGCACCTCGTCCAGCGCCAGGGTGGCCTCCAAAGCGGCCTGGTCCACGAGCTTCTCGGCCGCCGACGTCCACTCTGCCCACAGCTGGAGCGGGGGCTGGGGCTGGGAGAGGAGGGTCTCGGCGATGTCGACGGCGTCCTTGGCCGCCTCGGCATGCGACGCGGCTTCGCTAACCTTCTCCAGCGCCTTATCGGTGAAGCGGATGGCGTCCTGGTGGTGGACCTCCCAGCTGCGGTACGCCGGGTCATCTTGCTGGACGCCGAGGTGCGCGACGACGTAGCGAGCGAAGACGTGCCTGGTCTTCCCGTGGCGAGCGCCGCTCTGCGAGATCTCGCGGCGGGCCTCCTCGAGGATCTCGGTGGGGATGACTCCTTCGGCGGCCGGGTCGCCGAAGAGGTTCATGGCGATGGCCGCCGGCATGCCCAAGTGTATCCGGCGGAACAAAGTTCCGCGCACTTGTAGATTGCTGTGGGCGACTTCGATCAACCTGGTGGCTTCCATCTCGCAGCTGACTAGCATGAGCGTCTCGGGCACTCTCCACGCAAGCTCCTCCCACTCGTCCATTGCCGCCGATCGAGCTCTCTCCTTCTCCCTCTCCCTCTCCGCTCTTTCTAAGTTTCTAGCTTCGGCTTGGGCGGTTTGGATGGAGACGAAGACGAGGACGCAATTTATAGAGAGGCGCTGCTGGAGGGAGGAGGGGAAATGTGGCTTGCCGGTGAAGACAGACACGGGAATCTCTGTGTCACTGACAACTCCTGCACCCGCAGTTTCAATTTTTTTAACCTTACAACCGTGGGCCCCACGTATCTTCCAGGCTGGCTATTTCATATCTCATGCTCGCGAGCGGCGAGGAGAAGGCGCGGCCGCCGCGCGCACCAGGATCCACAGCTTGCGCGCGATGGGAGAGCTCGTGGACGCGTCCAGAGATCTCGCCTCAGCGAAGTCCCTCATGAAGGCGGCCGATCTCCTCGCGCTCCACCTCCACGGCGGCAGTGTCAACCCGGCCGTCGACGCTTCTGGGCGGGATCAACCACCTTGGCGCCCAGTATGTACCTCGCGGAGCGGAACGCCTGTGACTAAGCTCCGTGATGAAGCCGGGGAGGACCTGGATGCGATCCTCCTCATGCTGGACCATCCGAATCTCCCTGGCGTCGACGGCTTGATCTAGGTGGAGCGCGCCGCCGCCGATGGTTACCTCCTGGCCGCGATAGGGAGCGCGGAGTTGGGCAACGAGAGGGCCTTGGGCGCCCGGGGGGATGTATCCGGCGCCAACTGATTCCGTCGAGTCTTCGTATGTTTGATACCTCGTTCTTCTGTCCATCTCTTTTTCGTGTTTGCCATTTGACCTGCTCCTGCTTTGTTACCTGTTCGTGTCGTCTGTCTGATCGATGAATTCTGAAACATTGGTTGAACATTTTGGTTGCATTTGTGCACTTTTGCTAGCTGTACGACTCGATCCTCACCTGGATTCTGTGGATTTTTTTTTTTTGACGCGGATTATGTGGATTTTTGATAATGAAGTAGTGTTTTCTCGGACATATCCATGCCTTTTTAATCCGATGACGTGAGAGTTTCTACCTCGATTACTAGGTTGTTAATTGTTCAATTGTCAAGATGTTCTGAAATTTTTTTGCTGCCATGTTTGGGGATTCAGATTTAAGAACAAGTTTGGCCGTGGGTGGTTAATACAGGCAGTTTGTTCAGTATCTTTTGGGGTTCCAAGTGATAAACTGAGATTATTTCATTCACGAATTAGAGCATTGGAACTTGATTTGATTGAGTTTGTGGCTGTATAGGAAACAGAGTATGGAGCGATCAAGCTCTTTTATATCTTCATGTTTTATGCCTGCCGCTACTCTGTTCCTTGCTCCTCAATTTTTTTTAATCTCTTACGTGTAACAGGTAAATTCTGTAGTATTTGTGTGTAAACAAACAGGTAATGAGTAAAAATGTTTTGGGCACTTTCTGCTCAAGGTTAGCCATCACTGTGACTGCATGTCAGTAAAAGTCTTTTTTTTTTCTTTCTCCTACATGTGGGTTCTGTCAATTTTTGAGAATGCAGTAGTTCTTTCTTGGATATATGAGTGCCCTCTTAATCAAATGATATGAGATTTTCCTCATGGATTGCTAGCTTGTTAATTGCACAATTATCAATATGCACCTGTTGGATAATGCAGCAGGGATAGTTGAGATAGAACATCTTGGAGCGCTTGTTCTTTTGTGTCATGTTTGGAGATTGAGATTTAAGAACAAGTTTAGCTGTGGGTGGTTTGCACTGGGGATTTTGTTCTGTTTCTTTTCGGAATATCAACTAGCATGAACTGGGCTATCCATTAATTCCAGAACTAGGACTGTAGGAGACTAGAAGTTGATTTGGTTTAATCTGTGCCTTTGTTGTACAATGGCACAATGGTCGCGCTGCTCGCCGCATCTTGCTTTCGTAGGGCTCCATTTGTTTGGTCGATAGATCACTGAAATCGCTTGCAATTTCCTCTGGCGCGTGCGTACCGAACTACCAATCATGCGAATTCGTGTGCAAACACATAAGTAGATGATGTTCATCACAATCTGAGATTCAGCAGCAGATTCGCATTCCATTTGCTAGCGGCAGTGTTCCAAATTTGATCAACCACACTAGTAAATGCGTCACAACTCTGAAATTTTTACATGGGCGCGGTTTGAATGGAGACGAAGACGAGGAACAGCCCATTACGGTTCATTATGCCACTTGGGACAAATTAACGTCCCGAATTTCCCCAAAAACTTAATAGGCCCATCAAGCCCCAATTAAAGAGCGCAGAGTTGTGAACATGTACGTTCAGAACTCAGACGCAGAAACGCGTGCTGTTCCTAACTGTAACCGCATATATAGATACAAATAGAAGCATTATTGTTTTTTCACTTTTGATGATATATAGAAGCCCTAACGCCCGTAACAACAACTAGGCAATCAAATTAGTTGCCTTTTTTCCATGGAGTCCACCACCACCACGCGCGAGGCGAAACTGCTGCGGCGAAATCCATCTGATCACCACGACAGCGGCGGAGGCGGAGGCAACGACCTGATCAGTCACCTCAGCGATGACATCCTGGCGCACATCCTCGCCTCCCTACCCAGCATGACGGACGTGATGCGCGCGTGCGCGGTCTCGCGGCGATGGCGCCATCTTGGGGCGCGTGTCCCCGTCCTCAGATTCTTCTGCCTCGATCACGACTTCAGCGAGCAGGAGAAGCTCGACCGGTTCATCGCCTTCGTTAACAATATCCTTGCCAGGCGCGCCGATGATGGCACTAGTACTACTGTAGTAGAGGAGCTCGAGATCTCCTTTAAGTTGTTCAATAGCCGTTGCATGAGTGGCGGCAGCAAACGCGTCGTGCCATCAGTGGATGTTGCCCAAGTCGACGCGTGGATTCAGTATGGTATGCAGCATGTATCCAAGTCTTTCACCCTACAACTTAACTACATGCTGCCATTGAACTTGCACAACAGCAATAGCAGCAACGGCTGCATGCAGGTTTTGGGTAGTAATAAGCTTATGATTACCTGCGGCGGCGGCGCGACGAGGTTGGAGAGCATGGTCTTGTCGTTGAACAAAGCGTGTCTCCGCCGCCTTCCCACGAACGTGACGCTCGATTCGCTTGTACATCTCACGCTCGAGGATGTTGATGATCTCAATCAGCTCTTGTCAACAGCACGCTGCCCTTCTCTGCGGAAGCTATGCTTGCACAAGCAAACTGTGAGTCCGGCGACAACGACAGATCAGTCGTTGCATCTGGAGTCCAACGAGCTTTTAAAGGTGTCGTTGGATTGGATCTGGAGCCGTGCTTTGGTGTTGGAGCTCAGGACTCCCAGGCTCCGTGTTTTCCACACGAGGAACGCGTCCATAGGAAGGTTGGTGATATCAGCGCCGAGGCTAGAGGAGTTGACGTTCTTCTACACGAGGGTGGCTTCCATTGTCCAAGTCGAGGATATGCCGTGCGTGCGGATCTTTGAGACTGAGATGAGTTCACTACGACGACCCGAATGTAATGACCACGTAAATCAAACTAGGATTCGGCTCCTACGATGCTGCAAATTCCTTCAATTTCTCACGTTACACCTAACTATTACCCAGGTACGTACGTGTTGTATATACGAGCTAGAGAAATTTCATAGTCCTTGAAAAAGTGCCTCGAGATACCAAAATTTTACACTAAATTTTTTTTTTACCTCGAGGTACTTAGTACCCAGAGATATTAAATTTTACACTAGAAAGGGTGGTAATTCCTGGTACTTTTCAAGGATGGATGATAAAATTATACATGTTACAATTTTTTTCAGACTGTGATTAGCTTTAGTTTCACTCGCATATATTATTTATAACATAATACTGAGTTTTCTTTTGTTATACTCCATAATTTTACTATATAGGACACTTATATAGAGCACCAAGGTATCAAATACATAAATTCACTTAAATTTTTAAATTTTTTGAAATTATGAGTTCAAATTCAGTTCAAACTTGTTTGAACTAGTTAGTAAAGAAGTTAATGTTTATACCTAAATATTTTAAAAATTTTCATACTCAATTGAATTGAGTATATACTTAATTTGAATCTTGGTGCCCGAGCACCATGATGCAGTGCATGCATGTGAGACATAACAGAAATAAAGTATGGTACAAATATTCGTCATGTCTTCAACTTTAGGATTATTAATAAGCTAACAATGATCCTTTAATTTGTGCAGAAAGACGGTCACGATAGTGCAGAGGTTGAGCTGATAAAAGATATACCACAACTTCCTCACGCTACATCTTTATCATTACAGGTTTTTGCACAGGTTTATGATATTGCTAGTGTGTTATGTCTTCTTACTCGGTGCAAATTTCTCAAACATCTCGAACTTAACATAAAATATTGTTCGATGGTAAGCTGCTACTCCGTTGTTTATTAACTGATCAGTAGTTTAATAACTTACATCGATTTAATTCATCGAATTGATGATGGTTTTCCATAGGCAGAATATTGCAAAAGACCTACAGGTATCGGTACCCAAAATCAGAGGGATCATCATATCATCTCGTTAGAGCATCTTCAGGATATAAAGATTACCAGCGCTTACAAACGACAGTACGAAGCTAGGCTCCTGAAATTCTTACATGCAAGCGCACCGGCCTTGAAGAAGATGATAGTAGCATTCATATCAGCCTTTATGCTATCCCAGAGCTTACAAATATGTGCGAAAGAATGCGAAGAATTTCTACATAGCATTCCACTTAATAAGGAAGGAAAGTGGGCATTTTGCTACCATGGTGCTCATATGCAAGATTTTACAACGTTCGAGTGGACGCCAATAAAAAAAGTAGAGTGCAGACAGATAGTACATATGGATTAATCAATCGATACTGGGTATGCTATTTGTTAGAATTCTTTTTTTTTCCTATCGTAAACGTGCAAAATAATTGCATGTCAATATATTAGAAGAAAAAAAGGTTTTGTTACACAACGCAATCGGCCAGACAGACCTATGTTGGAGGAACAATAATAAAATGACCAAAACAGAAAAGGAAAAAAAAAACCACTACGAAGAAAAACTACTCCAACAAACAAGAGAGAGGAGGTGGAGCCGCACTACACTCCCAGGAGATCCCCAAAAGCGGCAATGCCTACGGAAGCTCACAGATGGCCTTCCGAGCGGATGGACTCAAAAAGCATGGAGACTGAAGAGAGTGCAGAGTCGAAAACAGTTCCGCTCCTTCCACAGTTGCCAAGAGACCAGAAGGACTAAGAGTCGAAGCCGGAGGAAAGATGCTCCGGTAAGCGGGCCCTAGAATTTGTTAGAATTCAAAATTTTGTACAACTAGTACTGAGCTCTAGTTTGAGTTGGATGCTTTCACCAGTTCCCTTTTTTCCCCCCTCAAGAATTTATCGTGGTTATTTTCCTTTTCTCAATAGGAATTTTATGGTTTTTACATGGTATATATTGTTGTGGCTACCCTCGACAGTCGCGAATAATGCCTTGAATAACGTGACAACACATGCAACATGTTTAATGTCAGAATTTGCAGTTTTCACTAGCTGCATGAAAATGCCCAAAATATTTATGCACATTTACTGGTAGTGTACACACAGATAAAAACTTGACCTGTTATATGATATTAAGAAAATTCGAGTGCAAGGGACAGAGTAATTACAGCGAGAATAAAACATAAAGATAAAAGAAAATTTGATCACTCCATATTGAGTTAAATAAAGTCCAAAAAAGGGTTCTGAATAAGCACTAGCACTTAAAATGGTCAGAGGTCAGAGCTAGTATCTTATTCTCGCTAATACCAATAGGCAGAACAGATCATACATAATGCAGGTAGAATTTTGATTGGGAAAAGGAAAAACTGCACGCAGATGAACAAACATAGGCAACTGCTTCAGAAGAAACAGATGGACACAATGGCACTAGTACTACTCTGTTTCCACAAAAAAACTCAACCAGATCAAGTCCCAAATCTCTAATTTGTGAATAAATGAAAATCTCGGTTATTTATGGAGTATTACTCGAATCCCAAAAGATACAGAACAAGTTGCCCATATCAACCAGCCGCAGCTAGACTTGTTCTTAAATCTGAATCCCCAAAGATGACATGACATAATTTTTTTTGTAAGAACATCTTGACAAATCAACAATTAACAAGCTAGCAATACAGGTAGAAAATCTCGCGTCGTCGGATTAAGAAGGCATGTATATATCCGAGAAAACACTAGTACCTCATTATCAAAAATCCACATAACAATCCAGGTGAGGATCGACATAGAGCTAGCACAAGTGCACAAAAGCAACCAAAATTTTCAAACAATGTTTCAGAATTCATCGATCAGACGACACGATCACACGAACAGTAACAAAGCAGGAGCAGGTCGAACGGCAAGCGCGAAAAAGAGATGGACAGATGAACGAGGTACGTATCAAGCATACGAAGACTCAACGGAATCAACTGGCGCCGGACACGTCCTGCCGGGCGGCGGTGGCCATCTCGGCGCTCCGCTGAACGGCCACTATCGCGGCCTCGAGGTCGGCGACGGCGGCGAGGCGCTCGGCGTTGATCATGCCCTGCACGTCTGGTAGACGACCTACATGGTCCAGCAGGAGGAGGGCCGCGTCGAGGTGGCCGCGGCACCCGTCCACAAGGGCGTACGCCTTCCGGGCGTCACTCTCGGCGTAGCTGAGCTTGATTGCGGCGCTCTGCTCCGCGAGGTAGTTCACCCTGAGAAGACGCACAGACAGCAGGGTTGATGCCGTCGCCGCGGAGAGCGAGGAGCCTGGCCGCCACCGTGAAGGAAATCGCGGAGGCGAGATTGCTGCACGAGCTCTCATCCCCGAGGCCGAGCGCGTCCAGCGCGAGCTGGATCGTATCTCGCACGGTGTTCGCATCGCCCGCGACCATCGACGACGACGACGACGTCAGTTGCGGCAGCAAGGCGTGGAGGCTCTCACGCACGCCATCGACGCGGATCGCCGCCTCCTCCACAAGCCTCCCGAACTGCGCCTTCCACACCTCCGCCGCCATCTCGCTCGCTCGCTCGCTCGCTCGCTGGGTGTTCAACAATTTGTTTCTGGAAGGATTTCGAGTCGAGGCGTGGCGTGGCGTGGTTGCGGTTGGTATGAAATATTAGCAAGCGGCCAGCCTGGAAGAGACGTGGGGCCCACGACTGTAACGGATTTCTCACCTCGGGTGGGGTGAGTGAAAAAATGTAAATACTCGCTGTTAAAAATTTGAAACAGCGGGCGGGTGGGCGCAAAGCTGCTTGTCAGTGAGACGGTAATTTCCCGTGTTCTTATCCAGCAAGCCACATTTCCACGGAAAAAAAAAGTAAATTGCGTTTAGGGCCACCTTTTATCACAAAAGTTTCACTTTGGACTACCCTTAAAACCTTTTCACTTTGGACTAGATTAATTTGCCTTTTCCCCGCAAAAAAAAGAAGATTAATTTGCCTTTGTTTCACTTTGAACCACCCAAAAACTTTTTCGAGCACATAAATGATTTTAACCACATCGGCACCCATAAACCGATAATCTTCCCGATTTACATGTAGACTATTCTTCGCAAGATTAGAGGGTAGATACAACTAGAAAAGTAACTTGGGGTGGTCCAAACCGCAACAAAGGTAATCTTACCTAGTCTAAAGTGAAAATATTAGTTAGAGGGTGGCCCAAAGTGAAACTTTAGTAATAAAAGGTGGACCAAAGTGCAATTAACTCTAAAAAATGCACATTCTCTTGCATGTTCTTAGCCTGGATTCGGCAAACAATAAGATGCTGATCATAATCAAACATTAAGATGAATTTGGTAGTTATATGTATGAGATGTGAAACCTGAATTTGGTAGTTATGTCTAAAACCTGAATTTGGGCCCCCATCGGTTGGTCTAGGCTTATTATAAGCCATAACGGCTTATTTGCGATTAAAACATGATATGTGAGTAAAACTTTTGTATATATGTTCTTAGTGATTGAAAAGCCAAAGTTAAAAAAAACCTATTGTAACGCTCCGCTTTTCGCGTGGCGTTAAAAAGCTAATTTACAAAAATCCTAATTGCGAAAATTCCGTTCTTTGAGTGTTGAGTCTAAGTTGTGCCAAAGATCTCAATTTAAAATCCCTCCCTTGTCTCAATACCCTGATATCAATGATCGCCTCCTCAAAATTTCCGCTCCAAAATAATCTCGAAGTTCGAATGCTTCTATTCGGATTTCAATCCAGAAACCCTAACCACAAATATCGCCTAATTCCGGAATCCAAAACCAGACTCCAACCCTAAAGCCCCTCCGATCAAATTCCCTCCTTGAGCTAGCTCTAACATCCAAGCTTCTCCCTCTCCTCGTCTCCATCGCTCTATCTATCTATCTATCTATCTATCTATCTATCTATCTATCTATCTATCTATCTATTGCATTCTACCGCCACATCCTTTGTTTCACCCCCGAACATTGATTTCTCCTTTTGTTTCCCTCTCAAATAATCCTTGAGCTGCCAAATACAAACATATCCCTAAAATATCAATTCTCGCTTTGAACTTCAACCACCCATCGACATCGAAAATCACGCCTCATCGAAATTCCTTCCCATTACCGAAAGTATCGAATTCACTCTTTGAATCCCCTCCTTGGTTTCTCCATATTTTGTTGAGTTCAAATATCCAATTTGAATTCAAATCCAGCGTCAAATGCTCCTCATATTCCTTAAAGAAATTTTCTGGGTAAACAGTCTATTATACCTCCGTCGATCTTTTGGGCTGATTCCTCCTTCCCCGGCCCAACTCTCCTCTCTCGGCATGTTTCCTCCCCCCCCCCCCCCCCCACCAGCACGTGCGCCGCACGCGCTCTGAGCGAGAGGGAGCCCCCCCCCCCCCCCTCTCTCTCTCTCTCTCTCTCTCTCTCTCTCTCGGCGTCGCTTCCCACCGACGCCGCCCAAAATTCCGGCCGCCGCCTTCGATTCCCGCGTGCCCACGCACGTGGCCGGCCGCCTGGGCGCCGCCATCGCTACCCTCGGTCGTCGCTTGCCCCGACGACCACCGTGTCCGCGCTCGCCTTCAAACCGTCCCCATCCTTTTTGCAGTCATCGCCGGCGTCATCCTCTCGGGCCCGGCGCCCCATGCCGCGTGCATCCAAAACCGTGAGGCGCGGCTCGTTCTCATCCCTTTCCTCCCAAAACGGAAGGAGCAAAGCTCCCTTTCCTCCTCCTTTCGCTTTTTCCCTTCCCGGGTAGCGAGCTCCCTGCCTCAACTCCTTGGCTTCTTGCTCAAGAGGCAGAGCCGCTGACGCCGCTGCAGCACCTCGCCGCCCCCACCTTGACCGCGCCCGCTCGCCCGTGCCAACCCTCCCGCGCCCCGCGTTCAATTCGCTCCGCCCGATCCACCGCCTCCGCCGCCCAACGCATCCACGCCGTCGCCGTTTTCGCGTCACCCACGAAAGCGTCGATGCTGCTTGCGGTCGCTAGCCGAGCGCCAGCTCGCATGCGCCCTCCTCGGTCCTCGCCTATAAATACCACCCCTTGAGCCCCAATCCATCCCCTTGGTCTCATGCTCCTAGGAACGGAGCACCGCCGACTCCTTCGTCGCTGGCCGTCGCCGCCGCGACCAAGAACGTCTCTTCGCCGCCACTGGGCCGCCCCATCCTCGCGCTCCCCTCTTCTTCCCCGGCCACGCCGTCTTGGCGCCGTGCCGCTCCCGTCGCGGTGATCATCTCGCCACGGGCGGACAACTCCATCAGCCCGCCTCGGCGTCAAACCCGCCAGGACATCCTTGCCGCCGGCATCCCCTTTCTCGCTTCCGAGCCCTCATCACCAACGCCGTCTCGCCTCGCCCGTCGGTGAGCTACTCGCCTCCTCCCTGCTCTTATCGCCACGGTCGCACCGTTCTTTTCCCCTCCCGCGCCGTGCTGCTGTTCTTGCCGCCGCGGGCAACCACGCGCCGCCATCGGCCATCCTCTCCTCGCTGTCGGTTCTCTTCCCCTTCTCGTCGCCGTCGCTCTGTTTCACCGCCGCCGCCGGTCGGTCCCGCGCCGAATCCTCTCGCCGCCACCCACCTTGAGCTCTAACAAACCACCCCAAACCGTCGCTCCGCCCGCCGGCCTCCTCTTTTGCCCCTGCGCCGTGCCGTCCTTTCCGCCGCCGCCGTGCACACGGTTGCGCACCGCCGTTGGCCTCCCTCCTCTCCTTGATTCCCGGCGCCACCATTATCCCCGTGCCCCCTCGGACCTCCCCGAAGCGCCGCCGCAGTCGCTAGCTTCGCCCTCTGCGCCCGCGCCGTGCCGCTCCCGCCGCCGCCGCCGGACGCCGTCGCTGGCCCTCCTCCGACCCCGGCGCCCTAATCCGCGCCGGTGGAAGGGATCCAATCCTCCTCCTCTTGCCTCCGGCGCCGTCCCCTCCCTCTGGCTCGCTGCCGCTCGCCGGCGCCGTTGCGCCGCCGTAAGCCGTCCGATCCGGGCGAGCTCTGCCTCCCTCTCCTTCTCTCTTGCGCTTACGTGGCAGCCCACGTGGCATTTGACCCAGTCCACAGCGCCAAGTCAGCCACCCCTCTCTCCTCTGGCTCGTGGGCTTGGCCCATTGGCCAGCCTTCCTCCTCGGCCTAACAAAACATAGAAAGTTCACTTTTACTCCCTCCTCCAAGTCCAGTGCCCACACACCCAAGAGCTAAAAGTCCACAATTGCTACCTCCAATTGCTCCTCTCTCTCACTCGACCTTCTTGTTGGCCCCACTCTTCAATGAGTCAAAGATATTCTTGAGAATATTTTTTCCAATATTCCACAAGTATTTCCTTTCTTTTTCCAAAATTCCATAAAGTCCTTTATCCTATTCCGGGATTCCAATAATTCATTCCCTCGGTCCCGCATGTCAGTGACTATCAATAATATTCTTGAGAATATTATTTCTATAAATTCCATAAACCATTTTTCGTATTCCAGAAAATTCTGACAAATCATCTTCTTGTCCAGAAAATTTATTTAAACTTCCAAAATTCATATCTCTTGATCCGTAACTCCGATTTACCCCGTTCCACTTTCAATAATTCCATTAAATTGTGATCTATCTAATGGCACTATTAATTAGCCTAAATAGGATATTTTATTTGGTCTTTGTTTAGGTTTTTGATTGTTTGCGCCTAGTTGTGGTTACCGGATATTTTTCTTCAAGCGGATTTCTCGAAGATTTGTGAAGCTTCGTGAAGACTCTGAGCAAGGCAAGCCACCTTTGAACATATTGAGCCTATATTTGAACTTAACTAGTTGAATCCCCACGCGTTGCTGCGGGCTTAATAAGTTATTTCAAACATAAAAAGTTAGTGTGAAACTGTGAACCAAAATGTATGCTTTTTATTACTTTCAGTGTGGTGTCAAAGAGACTCATGTGCATTTATATGTTAAAGCCTCCTGGTTTATGGTACATACTGAATTCAAAATAACAAATCGGTGTAAATTGGATTTCATTATAGTAGTCCAGGAAAATGTTTGATTATACACATACTTGATACTACCACGGCACACAACATACTGTAGATTACAAAAATGACAAATGAATTATTCGAAAGGGAGTTGACACTGCACTCTACAATCTACATATTTAAAACCAATTTGAACAAATTGGTTTTAAATATGTATTCCAATAAGGGAGGTAGAAACTTAATTTTCATGTCTAAAGTACCATATGGTGTGTGAGGGATTAATATGGGGTGATTAGTTACGGGTTTACAGCCACTATATGGCTATAACATTAACTGAGCATTGTAAGGTTTGGTCCCGTTTTCTCCTTAAAATGGGATATCTTCTTCTTAATATAAAACGTCGGCAACTGCCTGACCGTTCGAAAAAAAAAAAAGAAATAACACATTTTGAGATTTTTTATGCTGCTGGCAATTGACATTAATTGATTCTTGTTGTAAAGGCGACTACCTTCTGCTGGAGTACATGTAGTTTATATTTAATTGTAGTGTGACTGTCTTCTGCCGGAGTTCATGGAGAGGCAAATGCTACATTGGTTTCAGAAAATAGGGGGAAATCTTATACATGGATTAGGCAGGGATAATAATAATCCTGAAATAGGAATTTGCATTCAAAAAGTGTAATCCTAATGGACTACTGTCGGAAAAAGATAATTAATAAAGAGATCAACAAAAATATAAATTAAGCAAATATTCTATATATGTAGCTTATATTTACCTGTTTAGTTACCTGTGCCCATGGAGATGATTCTTTGATTCCTGAACTTTCAATATTCCAATAAAAAATTTTGTGCTACCCTTTTAAAGCTGAGATCGAAGACCCTTTTTTGTTTTTGCATGCATGAGGGCATGACATTGAAGAGGAACGTATGAATATCATTGAGATAGAACATGGACTGTTGCAAATGGAAAGATTTATAACCTGCAGTAGTGCAATTTCACCTTGAATATAGTCTGTAAACAATTTCCATTAACTGAATTAACCAACCAGAAAAGAAGTGGAGATAGATACCTTCTGCACAGAAGTACTTCTACGGCAGTGGCCAGAGATGTATGGTCTACCATCTTTAGTGCAGGAGGAGAATGCGGCCAACTGTTGTGCTCGGTAGATCCATCCAAAGCAAGCAAATTACATGGATTGAGCTAACTCACAGTTTTCTCGCATGCAGAACTGCTGAAGATGTGACCAAACTGAAAGCAGAGTAGATTAATCCGGTGCCATGCTTGAGAATACCAGCGTCGTGGTGATGATATGAGTAAGAAGAGACCCTGCGAGTGTTGGTAAATCGACGCAGTTATAGTTGAAGTAGGCAATTGATAGCGGCTGTTTTTTCTAGTTTAATTGGCAGTGATTGATGAAGAGGAAAGGATGGGTGGAGCGCAGGATATGAACGGCCTCTGTCGCTCCGTCTCCCAAGTATGTGAGGATTGCACGGTCCAGGACCAGGAAGCAAGCCGATCGAAATCCCCGTCAATGCGTGGCTTCGCGGAGTGTGTCCAGCAGAGGTTTGCAGGAGTTCGGACGGGCTTGACAGGGCCTGCTAACCAACTTGGGCCTGATTTCTGTGTCCAGCCGAGAATAAGATCTAACGGTGTTTGGCATCTGACAATAGATTGATCAGACGGCTCTACGGCTCTAAAGTCTCAATGACGTGGCTTAACCTGGTGCTTCCTTTATAGGAGCTAATGTTGTAGTTGGTACCAACTATATAGGAAGAAGGGATTATATTGCTTGTAAAATATTATGCATTGATAGGATTGCACTTAATCTGTTTGCCCCGTCTACGAGGTAGACCGGTGGGCCTACCTAACTTGTTGCATCTGATCCTTCCATTGTTAATTGTTATATCATGTTCCCTTGTAACCATCTAGTTGTGCCTCGATATTCATGCACTCTGTGCGAGTATCGACGGTCACCTTCAAACTTAAAATCTGAGTAACTTCTTGGGTAAAACTTGGTTTACAAAAGCTTTGGAAAACCCGACGCTTGGATCGGTGCCTTGTGAAAGAAAATGAGTTTTAAAAATGAAACTCGCGACACAAGGCCATTCCTGGGCGGAATACTTGTGCGGTCGCATCTAAGGACCGATTCCTATGGAATTACATCCAAGCATACAATAGTGCGACCACATGGGTGGAATGGGACGCCCCTGGCTGAGTAAATAGCTAATCAGGGGAGCCTTGATGCCAAGAGACATGTGGATTCAACGGGGTGGTGTCGGGGAGAATCCCCGGGCTTCCTGGCACAGTATGGTCTGGGACCAAACTTGTTGTTGGTCTGGGACCCCTCTCGTTGGCATATGGCAATCCTGTGTCGGCTTTCGAAATGCCTTGTCATGAAAGCCCCAAAGTCACCAGACGTGGCTATTCTGCACGGGCTGGGTGACCCGGGTTAGTAATGTCGTCTGGGTAAAGTGTACCCCCTCTGCAGAGGTTAACAAACTGTTCGAACAGCCGTGCCCACGGTCATGGGCGGATGTGAGGTGATTCCTTAGTGTAGTTTTTGTTTTACCCTATTTTATGAAAAGATGTTAAGGTTTGGGAAACCTAATGCTTGGGAAGCATTTAGCTGTCCGGGGGATAGCGGGACCGGGAGTCCCTGGAAGTGATTGGTCGTTTGGGGACCACTATTATCGGGAAGTTTGGAAAATTGGTTTGGTTGGGAAAAACCATATTCGAAGCCAACTCCGGGAGTTGTGCAAATCTTGATACATAAATTTGTTACTTCTCGCCCCGGCCGAGTTGAGACTTGTCTCGCTCTGGTAGTGGAAAGCACACACTTAGATTATTGAAAACTTGCAAATTAAACCGATTGAAAAATAACAGCCTTATCTTTGAAGCTTGCATTAACCACCTAAGTTCCCCTGGCTTGCTGAGTACGTAAGTAATCACCCTTGCTCTATATAAATATAGTTCTGCCCGCTCTGAAGATGAAGTTGAAGTGAAGTGAAGATTAGGGTTTTGTCCTAGTTCCCTGCTGTTGCCTGTGGTGTTGGGTGTTAGACCGTTGGTTCTGCTGCTGCTGCTGCTGCTGTTGGTGGTGTTTGCCTCGTCCGTGTCGTCGGTTGCATTCTCGGGCTGTCTAAGCTGCAACCTAAGTTAAGGTAAATAAGTCCTCTATTTATTTAAGGATTGCAATGATTCATAATTGTCACCGTGGGTACCAGCGCTATGTCCTGGGACTGGTACTGAGATCGCGGTTTCGTATGAAGCGGTTCGCGCCGTTTTTCCTACGACACGCTCCTATCAGGTGCCATTGTACGGCGGTGCCGGTTTGGGCTGTGACAACTATGTTGAAAAAGAATCAAATTCAAATTCAAGTTTTTAAATTCAAATTTTGGCTTTGGCTTATAAGCTATAGGGCAAACGATGAGGCCCCAGTTATGTATGAGATGTGAAATCATCTAATATTGTTTAAGAAAGTCAGCTTCTAGACATCACGGGCCTGTTTACTTTGATGCTAAAAAACCTTACCAAATTTCAGCATTGCCAAAATTTTGGTAACTTGCCAAAATTTTGGCAGAATTTCTTATGTAGTTACCAAAATTTGGCAGCAAACTAAATGTAGCCACTTTTTTGGCAACGTTACCAAATTTTGGTAAGGTTGAAAATGGCATCAAAGTGAACAGGCCCCACATTCCAGATTTGAACATCACGATTTCAGATTACACAATATTGCAGATCTTATTTTCGCAAGGAATCAGAGAAACAACCACAAGTTTTTTAACAAATCAATCACTTTGCAGATTTCATAACATCCAACACGCCAGGTGATAAAAGAAATATATTGTACAGATATGAGTTTCTTTGCTATTTGAACCAAAAGGGGGTTCAAATTTGTAGCATCTATGACTACTGTCCCTGCAAACTCTTAACTATATACAGACTACCCAGCTACTTTAGTGCATCTTACAAAGAAAGGCTACAGACATGAGGCAAAACTAACTACTTTCACACATCAGCTCCCAGAATAATTTCCTTCAGTCCATATTTTTCTGTCGTTGATTGTTCTATGGCATTTCTTAAGTGGCCTCTTGTTCATTGCAGTCTTCTAATGTTGAATCATCAGCCAAGCTTCACCCCTTATGTCTGTCTCCCCTGCAAAGATGTTGTATGTAAAAATGTAGTGAGTAATTTACTACTTCATCCGTTTCACAATGTAAGACTTTCTAACATTGCCCACATTCATTTAGATGTTAATGTGTTTAGATTCATTAACATCTATATATATGTGAGCAATGCTAGAAAGTCTTACATTGAGCAATGCTAGAAAGTCTTATATTGTGAAACGGAGGAAGTATTTGGAATCAGCTCCCATCACTAAGAATCAGCCAACATGACTAAGCATATCGATTTGTGAGCATGCTTGCAACTGACTGTAAATGACTGTATATGAAAAAATAATTATTGTTTATAAACAAACAGTCAATAGCATAACCACTCAAGATGGTAAGCAGCCACCTTCACGAGTCACGACGGACGACAGCACCACATCAGTGGCCCTCTTGCGTGAGGAGGAATATGTCAGCGGCTGTGGGCGGCGCCGGCTACCCAGGTGGTGCCGTGGAGGAAGAAAGCGGCGGCAGTTACCTCGGGCAGTTGGACGAGGAGGGGCGGCCAGCAGGCAGACAGCGGCACGGCGCCCTCCCACGCGTAGAAGAGGGTAGCAGCGGCAGACGGGTTCCGGATGAGAGAGGCGGCTGGCGGCGGCGGTATCGTAGAGGGGAACGGCGGGGAGGAAATACTTTTGGGAGCCTACCGCTACAAGCGAAGCGGATTTAGATCGAGCCGAGATGAGCGAGTACGAGCCGCGTAGGCGAGCGTGGAGATCGCTCGCGCAAGCCCAGCCGAGTACGAGGCATGGCCGTGCGCCTGCGCGCGCGCAGTGCAGGCCGGCCGTCAGATGGACGCCTCGTCCACGTGTCGCGTATCTAAGCTGGGTATGCACGGGGTGAGATTTACATCCGGTATGCACCAAATTTTTTTTCCCATTTCCACTCTTCACACAGCGCTTATCTATAAATTTTGTACTCCTCTTCGTCTCCATCCAAATTGCCACACACACAGAAGACGCTCAGATCCCAATCCCAAACCGAAGCGAGAAAGAGCGAGAGGGAGAGGAAGAGCTCGATCGGCGACAATGGACGCTCATGCAACTCAGCTCCGGGATGCGAGCCGTCAGGAAGATCCAAGAGCGCGCTGCTTTGATGCGCAACATACGCTTCGGGATGCCGGCGGCCATTGCCATGAGCCTCTTCGGCGACCCGGCCTCCGTTGGAGTCTGCCCCACCATGACTCTCGCGGGGCACCGCTCGCCACGCGATGGCCGACCACATCGTTGTGCGCTACGCCGGGCTTGTCGATCGGCATCCAGCACGAGTTGTCAAGCCGCCGTGCACCAGCAGGGACACCCACTACCGGGACGCCATCCGCATCACCGGCCGACAAGGCCCTGGCCAGAACACCCAGGGCGCTGGTGTTGGTCACTCCCAGGTTCTTCGACGCCTGGACGATTCTGCGTCGGGGGAGAGCTAGCTCGATCGATGGAAATGAAGGAGTGGAGAGAGCTAGCACCGAAAGTGCCGAGAACCCTCGTGCTCATCGGCGCCGCCGAGCTGAAAAGCCTGGCATACATTGATCAAAGCCGCCATCAGCAAGTTCGGAAGTTCCAGAAGCATGTCGAGTTGCTGCACGAGGTACGCAAGGTGCCGATGCGAAAAACACGAGGCCTGGGAGATCTACTTAACTCCAGTGCAGGTCCAAAAATCTTACCTTTAGATTCATGAGAATGCCAGTTGATTTGATCCTGCAATCAACAAGAAACAAAGACAGAAAAATAGCAGTTAAATCCATAAACGATAGCCGATCGGCCAGTCGCCGATGACATATCATTTATCTTTGAGCCGATGTCATATTCTAATCGATCGGCAGTCATAAGTAAGCAAGAAAGAACTAAATCTATTCGATCGGCTGTAGATATTAATGATATATAATCCTTCTGTCGATGTATATTTAAATCAAGTGATTGGGATAGATCGGTTGTCATGCCGAGACAGTATAAATCACTTAGATCGAAATATACATTAACATAAAGATTATAACCGTTCATAACATAGCCGATCAGATAGATCTAGCATGTATCGGCTAATACTCCGGTACCACTCTACATTAAGATATTAAAGCAAGCAGAATATATCAGACATGAAGTTTAATATACCTAAATGCAACAAGATCTTAACATAAAGAGCAGATTTAACATATCAATCACGCATATAGGATATAAAGTAGTTAAATCAGATAAGATTGGCTAAAACCCCGATACTACCCTAATCGGCAATCAAAAGCAGGCTAGAGATTGAGATTCTAATCACGACTTATAATATCAAACTCAACTGATGCAGCTATAAGTATGAAAAGAATAACAATACCTAGACAATCAAGCTGTTCGATGTTTCATAGAATTGTGGATACCTTATATAATCTAAGTCAATGTCGGTATTTAACCTGATCGGCTGCCTTCTAGTTATAGATGTTGGCCGACTGAGGATTAAATAACAATATTGCCAGAGATTATATAGGATATATTCTAACTCAACAACTTACATAAACAATATTAGAGTGTCATAAAGATGGAAGCACTAATCCTGAGAACGCAAGTCGCCATGACAAGTTTACCTCTAGTTGAAGATCGAAACGATGCAGCTCAACCCGAAAGTAAGAACTCGTCGAGATCAAACGAAAGTAAAAGGGTAGCGATGCACCGATATTGTATTGAACGTGTGTTGTTTGATTACATGGTTTCGGGTGATATTTATACCCGAGATACAAAATATGTCCTCGTCGGACACGACTCTTATCTCTAACAAACTCTAAGATACCATAAGTCTTTACGACAGACTTTTGCCTAAACTTATCTCTAAGGAAATTATATAAAACATCCTAAGTAATAGATACAATTGTCTTTCCAGGACTCAATCCATGCATGGCAACCCACATGAAGCACTTCAACCTAACCCGATGACGTGTACTGCGTCGTATTGTCAGAATCGGCTTAATCGGCTAACCTTGTCCGACTCAAATTCTGCCGATTCTAGTCGCAGCCGATTCGAACTTCAGTCGATTCTTGCTCTGTTTCCGGAACGATCCATCCTTGGATTCCGCTTCGGTTTTATCTTCATCTCCGATACTGAAATTACCAGATTTGGTTATTAACACATGCCCCCCCAAGTCCGGAATATTTGGTAATGTTTCGGATTTGCCATATCTACTTCTCCAGGAATATCGCTCATTACCGTTTTTCCGACCGTTACCACAGCACTTTAAATACTAACCGTCACCCCTGAGAAATTTCACACCGTTACTTCCGTTTTCACCGCTCAAGCCAACTTCGTCTTCTCTCTCTCTCTCTCTCTCTCCGGCGATCCCCTCGGTGCGCAAGGCGATCTCGAGGCGACTCTCCCTTTGGCCAAGCTTCCGCCTGCGGAGATGTCGACTTCCACCAGCCCGTCTGCCGCGCCATCAGCCGAATACGCAGAGGTAACTACCCATCGGCTAGATCCTCTCCTTTGTGCAGTAGATTGGTTTTTCCTTATCTCATCTTGTTTTCTTCCTCTCTATTCTTTTTTGCATTTTTAGCATCTTTCCAATCTGGTTGCAATTCCCAGTCTATCTCATGAGCATCAGTATTTCCTTGGTCCGATCGGCTATTCCGACCCCACTGAGTTCATTAGCACCGAAACCAACAGGATACCCTTTAGATTGGCCAACCCAAATCTAGGTCACTGGAAAAATACTTTCAAATCTTGGCCTTCCCTTGAGAAAAGTTCTCCTGAGAAAAGCTGGCCCGTATGGTACAAGCGTGTATCGGCTAGCAAGCAGGTTCATTGGGACGAACTAGGAATCAGCCAAGCCCTTGCTCTTACTTTAGTAAATTCAGCTAAGGATGAACCCCTGATGGCTTCTGCAACATACTTCTGGTCCAACACCCTCAATGCCTTTATATTTAACCAAGGGCCGATGACCCCTACTCTGCTAGATGTCATCATGATTACTGGCTTAGACATCACCGCATCGGCCAACCCTATGAGCTTGAACTCCAAGAATCAGTTTGATTCAAGACTAAAACCATAGGTTGCTGGTCCAGCTATATTGCTGCATACATGGGCAAAGGATCTGTTACTCCCCGAGAACATGTAGCCTTCCTACTGATGTGGCTTGAAAAATTCCTATTCTACGATTCGAGTTGTGGCCCTACTACCAATTGGTAGTTCTTAGCCGAAAGCCTTGAAGCGAAGAAACAAATCCCTTTAGGAAAAATCCTCCTCGGCTATCTGTATCAGATGTTAAACAATGCATCGGTTAAGATAACCAGTGGATCAGTAGTCGGTGCTGGTGGCCCTTGGTGGTTGTTGCAAACATGGCTTAACCTTGTTGCCATGAAGGCTGTGAATCGGTCATCTTTGACATATGCTGAATTTCCAAGGCTAGAACCGATTACAAATGATGATGGAGAAGAACTCACCCACCGCCGATGCATGTCATATGGAGAGGCTGCATCCACACCAGCCGATTCTGGATCCAAGTTATCGGCTGAGCTACTGAGGGACTGGTTCTTCAGTTTCTATGATGGTTTTCAGAAAGATGCCCGAGTTTGGTTTGCATATGAAGACTCAATGAGCTTTGAACTGCCATCAGACTTCATATTTGAAGAAATCAATTCTAAAAAATATGATAAGTCTAGAGAAGTCTTCTCGGCTGCTATCAGTCCATGTATTCTTCCTGTTGGCATCCATCAAGGGAGAAACATACAAGTATCTTATGAGTTCTACCATCCCATGAGCTCGGCTAGGCAGTTTGGGATGGGACAGCTGCCAATCGGCTTCTATTTTGCCGATAAAATTCAATGCAGAGGCAAAATCTCATCAACATTGATGATGGATCGACTGCTCAACATCCCAGGACCCCCTTTGGGCAGCATCGATAATGTAGAACTAGCAAGGTTCAGGAGCACGAACTTTGACAAATGGTGGGGTGAATGGAAGCAGCACTTGTTCCACCAATCGGCTTCCATGTACATGACAGATCTATTCCCAGATGTTATCCCTCAGGTAAATCCTTACTTTGTCAATCATGTAAAATGACTGTCAGCCGATTTGTATTTTGACTAACCTCTTCTTCTGTCTTGCAGACAATAGAATCCTCTCCTCATCGCAAAAGCAATAGCGGCAAAGACATAGAATATGCTCCAGGCCTTCTACTAAATGGAGGTGGTCTAGCTCCCCCTGTCATCGGCTGTTATGCCCCCAGGACCTCAAGCCTACTCCAAGGGCAAATAAGAGAACCAGCCGATGCCGGTAGGAAGAGGAAGACCAAGGCAACCCGTTGTTCCCAGATGTTGCTCTACTACGTACCCGGACAGGGAGGACTTAAGTGATCTCGAGGGCTGTAACCACCTCTACACCTACCTCAAACATACTATGGGATATGCAGCAATTACTAGATAACAATTACCTAAACACCACGTCTAAGCAATTACTATCTACTTTAGTGTTTATAACTCACCAAAGCAATCACTATATTTTAGTTGATTATAGTGAACAATAATCCCGTATGCTATTTAGGAACTAACCAAGAGATAATTCTCACAAGATAAATCTAAATTACTCAAGAAGAATATTATATTGAATTCAAAGTAATAAACAGAATAAAAGAAATAGGAGAAGATTACCGACAGCTCCGGAATTCTTCCAACTTCTTCTACTCTACTCTCTTCCTATTCTAGTATACA